AAACTAAATTTTTTTTCTAATTCCACATAACAATATATGCAAATTTTACGTATCAGTAAAGTTTCAATTGATGAATGATGAATAAGTTAGTATTAAAATTTCGGAAATGATCGATTATATAATGCATTGAATATAAGCTAAAGAAAAAAAAGTTTTTAAACAATTCAACAAAAAAAAAGAACGAAGAATATTAATTCTGTCTAAAAGCATTTATTCATTTTCAAAAATGTTAACTGCTACAATTTTTTAACGTTTTAGATGATGGTAGCGATAAATCAATTGAAAATGAAGTCAGTTTAGATTGTGAAATAAGATGATCGGAAATACTTTTTTCTTTTTTTTTCTTAGCATACGATTACCTCTTAAAATTATGCCATGAGAAATTTGAACGAATCGAGAAAAGAAAAATATTATATCCAATATGGCAATTTATTAATATTAATTATTATTTAATAAAATATCTATATATAATAACTAATTTAGTATTCAAATTTATTTTATTTTCAGTTAGTTGAAGCACAAAAAAAGAGATCAAGTAATATTCATTTGATATTAATTAATAAAGTAGTAATAAATGAAATTGTTTATAAATTAAAAATGAAAATTGATTCTTTTTTTATTTATTTTTTTATGGTGAAAAGCAAATGTAAAGCTTGCACTTAAATGATTGATGATAATGCATTTAAATCAGCTTGAGATGCTTTCTAACAATTCTCAATTGGAAAACCAAAAATAACATAAATATCATCAACAAACTAACCACACACACACACACACAAATACACATAGAGAGAGAGGTGCACAAACATATTTCCTTAATTACTGACTATATTAATTATAGTTCCATATTTATTTATTTTCTAATTGGACAATATTTTACTTTTTATAATTATTTAAATAATTCATTATTGCTATTTTCTTTCTTGAAGTGTTTATTGAAAGTTTTTTATTGTCACTTTTTCTTTTTTTCTTTTTGAATTATTCAAAATGATGCAAAAAACCACTATTCTTAATCTCTTTTATTATCTGTACATAAAGCATTGCTGCAAATGAAAAAGATATGAGAGGAAAAAAATTGCTGATAATAATAATAATAGTAATAATAACAATAAATAATGACACCACTGATGCAATTTTATTTTTATTTTTTCACATTGGATTAAATATTGCTGTATGTTTGGAATTTTTAATTAATTCCCTCATACTGATTATTCATTCATTCATCGTCCATCATCACTCATTGATATTATCACCGTTATTATTGTTATTTTTCAATATATAAATTTTTTGTTATCATTGTTATTATTGCTATGATTCTTATCATCATCACCATTACCAGCAAGTATTACTACCTTACTATAGCATCATCACCATTATTATTCATTAGTTCCATATTATTTGAGCCATGATTACCATCATTAACCATTATTATCACTACTATTACTTCACTGATCATAATCATTATCGCTCTCTTTCTCATTATTATTATAATAGTTAACGTTATCACTATTACCAATATAATTATCATCTCATATATGTTGTCTCATCATCATTATTATTATGAAAACCCTTACTATCGCTAATATTATTATTATCTATTATTATTAATTATCGTCATTATCATTACTGTAGTTATCACTGTTACCACTATTATATTTACCGTGATTTTTTAAAATATTAACAAATTCTTTTGAACACAACTAAATATATCTCCAGACAACTAATCAAATAAAATATAATGATAATATGGGAATAGAGTTTTTTCCTTTCTTTTTTAAATTATTTCATTTTGAACAAAGAGTGGAATATTACCAATTAATTTTTCTTTTTCCCCTTCCTTTTTTTCAAATGCTTTTTGTCGGGAAATTTCATCCAAACAGTGATCAATTATATGAATATATTTGTAATTTTTTTTCACTCCCATTTTTTTCTTCTTTTTTGTCCCTTTACAAATCCTTTTTTCGTTTTGCTTTGCATATGATACAATTATTATTTACTGAAATTGTCATAATTTTTATTTAAAAAAATAAATTATACTGAAATAAATATATCAAAAAAAAAAAAACAGCCTAGATAATTCATCTCTCTTTTATTTCTCTCTCCCTTTCTCTCTTCTGTTTTCCATTTATTTGCGAATCATTTTGCATTTTATTTCTTTTCCTCTCTTTTTCTCTCCTTCTGAATCAACGGCTTTGATTAGAGACACTGAATGGAATTGTCAGCTATTTATTAATTAATTCCATTTATAAGTTTATTATTGATATTAATTAATTTTTTTCTCTCTATTTCTCATTCCCCACTTTTCCCCCATACCATATTTATTCGCTCAATTTCATTCACTTTACAATTATTCTTACTTATTTTAGAATAATATTCAAAAACTCATTCTCTAATATCATTTCAATTAATTATCATTTATCAGTTCGGTCATTTTTATCTTTTCTCATTCAAACACTTCTTTTTTCATTTTTCTTTTCTTCCAACCTTTTCCTCCTTTTTTCCTCTCTCTTCCTCCGCTTTGTTTTTGTTTTTTGATTTTGTTAAAATTCAATTTTTTTCCTCCTTTACTAAGTTTAACAAAAAAAAGTGAATGATAGCTTTGTATAATGCATGCATTGCTAATGGAAAAAAAAAATTAACAATAAAAATGAAAGAAGAAAAAACGACGAAAGTAAAGAAAAGACAACATTAGTTTTACAGCATTCGGCATAATATTTACTTGAGCAGTAGTATGTTTTAAAAGAGAAAAAACAAATCATTAAAATAAGTGAAGGAAAAAAATTCATTCAATTTCATTTCTAATTATAATTTTTCTCTCAAAAAAAAAATATTCATTTAAAAAAAATTTAATTGAAAAATTTACTCTTCTCCTTCTTATTTATAAATTTCTATTTTAAATAAACGAATTTTATTAAAAAACTTTGTTTTTTGTTTGCTTTTGTTTTCTTATTTTGTTTATTACGAATAGTTGCAATTCTGATAACTTTTTTTTCCCAAAGGACAAGAAATAGCTAAATTGTTGTGTCATATTTGTCACATTTTTAGCTAATGAAGCAAAAATTTCATGAAAAATTATCGTAATGTATTAGGTAATTTGGGTAGCATATCAGATTTATTTTATTTATTTACTTTTGTTTCCTTTATTTGTTATTTTTTTTTTTTATTAAATGAAAGATACATAGAAGTTAACATTTGATAACATATCTATTTAAAAATACATGCACAATCTCATTTTTTATTTTTCTTTTTTTAAAAAAAGATGGAAATTGATTAATTGTAAAAATTTTTAAAAAATTGACTCTATTATTAACATTTGAGTAAACAATTAAAATATTCATATCTTTTCATTTTTGCTAAAGTTAAAAAATAAAGTTACAATTGAAATGACTTTAATTTATATTAGATTCTTTCAAGTTATATGTTATTTAATTTTTTTTCTTTTTGTTCTATTTAAGTTCGCCCAAATTGTTTTTAGTTGATTAATTTAAGTCCAAGGAACGAAATGAAATAGGTGAATAGAAAATCCAATAATGAATTATTATTGAGTATTTAAATTAATTCTAAAATCAAGAACTGTCATCGGCCTTTTTTGAACTCATGATATAATTAATTATGAGTTTTTAGGTGAGTTAAATTTCAACTTTTTTGGGTTAAAAAAAATTTCCATTATTTGTTATGGAACAAAATTATGGATTAAAATTAATCTTTTTTTGTTTTTTGAAATTATTTAATTCTTCTTATCGTTCATATCAAATCTTTGTTAAAACTTTGTGTGTTGCGATCGTTGCTGTATATTTTAGAATGTTTAACTGATTTTATCAAATATGTTAAAAATGTTAAAAAGATTGAAAAAAATTTTTTTCTGCTTTTATTTGTGGTTGTTTGCAACTAAATGGATAAATCTTCTATAAAATAAAAAAATTAAATAGATTTGTCTACGTTATCAATTTTTAAGTGTTGTAGTTTAATGATGGATAATATCACAGATTCTGTGGTTTGGAAAAAAAATGAAATTGATATGAAGAATATTTTCTTTAGAAATCATTCTTTAAATTCTTCTCATTTTCCAAAAAATTGATTTTACTATAAATTATTTTAAATTTAAAATTGACCAATAATATTTAAATAATCTTTTTTCAATTTCTATTTTATTTTATTTGCTTTTATAAATTTTTAGTTAAAGACAATATCATCAATATATATATGTGTTATAATATTTTGTAATTCGGCTATTCATTAATAATATATATATATATATATATATATATATATATATATATATATATATATATTTTAATATTGCAATTGTCATTTAAACATTACTTTTTATAATATTTTCTAATCATTCTATCATTTTTTATTGTTATATTTGTTTTAATTGTTATTGATTAATTTATCGTTTTAGCAATTTATATGTTAGTAATTTTATATATTTATGATATTAAAATTTATTATTTTAGAAAATTGATATTTTCTTTTTGCCTTTTTTTGTCTTTTGCTATTTCATTTATTTGATAAAATAAAATTTTTATCGCTTGATAATATTGCTATTTTATATTAATTGTAATTGACCAAAATCTTTTAAAATAATTAGAAATTAAAATTTTGAAATCTACACTAATTAAATTCAATTTCTATTCTTCATTCAAATTTTTTAACAAAGATTGTTATGAATAAAATAAATGTTTTTTTTTTTAATTTTTCTTTTAAAAATTTTTTTTTTCGAAAAATGTGGTGATATGTTAACTTTCAGTATTTTCATTTTAATTTTCATTAATATTTTCCTATCTCTTTTTGCCTCTTCTCATTTTGCTTCCACTTTTTACTCTCTCATTTTATTCTTTTTCATCAAAAAAAAACAGTCATTAAGTTGATATTAACAATTAAAAAAAACATATTCGCTATTAAAATTATAAACCATTATTTGCGTTTTTTTTTTTTTTTTTTTTTTTTTTTTTTTTGTAATTTTTACTTTTTAATTTGTAAACTTTGATTTTTAGGCATATAATATATTACCATTGGAAGATTTCCCAGAAACAATTGAGGAAGACGACGACGATAATAATACAATTCCACCAGACAATAAAATTATGCCAACCGTACCGGAAGGTGAAACAATATGTCGAATTAAACTGCTACGTCCAGAATTACCACCTGAAATACAGCCGGAAAATGTTACTGATTTACACTGTGCTATTAATGTAAAAGAACGTGTTGAAATTAATGGTAAATATTTCAAAAATTATTTAAACTATTTATAATTTTTGTTTTCTTGTGCAAATTAAAAAAAAAAATCGTTTTTTTCAATTAATTTAATTTTGATCCATTTCTAATTTATCTCTCGTTTTTGATAATAATTGAAATTTTCATTAATTTTAAAGGGACAAGAAGAGACATAAAAGAAAATATAAAACAATTTTTAGAAATAAAATGAATATTTTGTAATTCGGTGGCAATTCCAAAAAAATGTATTTTCCAAAATTTTTTTCTAAAATTTATCCAGTTCCTTCCTCTATTTCTCTCCTTCCACTCTGTCTGTCTCTCTGTCTCATCCCTTCTCTCCTTCTTATATATGCAACAATAATTTAGCATTTATTGTTCTGCTTTCGTAATATAGGAAAATTTTATCATTCATTTAATCTGCTACAACAAAAAATGACTTTTCGGAAAAAAAAAGGTCTTTTTATAATTAAAAAAAAAGAATACAAAATTCAAAAAAGCGTTATTGTAGAACTTTGCACTATAAAATGAATTATTTGCATATACAAAATATAATTTTAGGTGAAAAACGTTTGATACAAAAACGGAAAACGATCCATCCGGAATGGAATGTATGTTGGGATACAAGCGTTATTGATGGACGAGTATTACAGATTATTCTACTTAATGGTACCACTCCTATCGCTGATGCTACAATGCGACAGCAGGTAAACTTATTATCTATGTTTACTTACTTTTACCATATTAGCATTCATCAGAAACATTTGAAATACTTTTAAAACAATTATAATTATGTATGTTCATTTATTTATATAGCAAAAATGTGAAAGTTTGCACATTTCTACAGCAAATTATTTATTTCTAACTAATTGTTATTGCTATTCCAATTTAAAAGTTTCCATTACATTTTTGTCCTCTTTTTCTTATTTTCCTTTTCATGTTTTTTTTTTTTTTTTTTTTTATTTCATTTTATTTTATTTTTAAACCATTTGAAATGAAAAGTATGATATTGTTGCATGTTTCAATTGATAACTATTCATTAGCTTCGAATCATTTTCTTTTTTTTTTTCCTCTACGTTTTTCTTTTTTTCTTTATCTCATGAAAACTGACTTTAATTATTTCAGTTTCTTTCACAATATATGTTTAATTTTAGGATGAAATGATTATTCGTTACATTTTATCTCTTTCACTTATTGTTTTCATACTTTTACGAATAATACGATGTATTCTAGGTTATTTTATATTATTTCAAATTTGTTTTTTTTTTTTTTTTTTCATGTATTACAATAAAAATTTGCATTTAACGGAATTTTAAAGGGAACTAGTGATTAATAGATGCGATATATTTCTATATTATTGTAATTTTTTTTTTTTTTCTCTCTTAATGGATTACAAAAAAAAAGTAATTTAAAGTGAAAATAGCTTTTTACCGCATATCAATGATAGATTATTATTATTACTACACTATTATTATTATTTTGACCGTTACTGTACCCACGAATATATTTTATAGTCAAATAAAATATATGTACGATTCGTTCAATAATCCAAAAATTTTTAAATCTATCACTGTTCCCCTAACATTAACTTGCCTAAACAAGTAATGCTAATAACAGTAATAGTGATAACAATAGGAATAGTACTAATAATAGTAATCATAGTAATGATATTGATAATAATGATTATATTAGAATTTGCTTTACAATGTATTGTTGAATTTTTCACTTTTTTCCTTTTTCTTTTTTTTTTTTTTTTTAGGATATCATATCAAAATGCAAAGGAGAAAATGCAACGCATGTTTGGATTAATTTGAAACCGGCAGGACGTATTTTTGCTCAAGCTTGTCATATCAGCAATTCTGGTTAGTTTATTAATGCATAAATAAACAAATTAAATTGATTGATGATAAAAAGTAAATAAATTTTTAATAATAAAATTTTGTGATAAATTTTGTTTTATGCCGGAAATAATCTTTCTTTTGAACTGAAATAAATTTCTTTTTTTGAAATGAAAAGTTAAAAACTACATAAATTAAAATAATTATTCAAGTTTTTCTTTGACTTTTTTAAATTTATATTATATTTAAAATTACATTATATGTTTGAATTAAACATAATTTTGCTTATGCATTAGAAATATTTTTATTATTAAACGGTAATATTCCAAACACTAAATTCAATTGAAATATTTTTATACACTTAGCATTTTGTTAAATTTGAATAATATATTTTTTTGCAGTCAATTTATTATTTTGTTGCTAAACTTATTGCGCAATTGATTATTATATACCTTTCTCTATTTCTTTTTTTATTGTTATTAAAATCTCTCTTATGTGTAATAGTGATATTATTTATTTATGAGCTTTTTCTTTTTTAATTTTTAAAGATTAACAACACTAAAATAAATAGATTTGAAATGAAATTTGAAAAAAAAAGAGGAAATATGTAGGAATATAAATACAGAAAAATCAAAAATAATCTTTCAAACATATAAAATTATCAAAAATAATCTATGATACATTATTATTCATTATATAATATAACAATATAATCAAATGCTATTACACAGATAATTATTACATAGTGATGTTTATTGTTTTTATTATTAATGTTAGTAATTGTTATTTGTAAAATATTTTTAAGTATAATTTGTATGATTAGAATAAAACAAAAAAACAAGAAGTTGTTTAAATTGAAAGAAAAGGATATTTCTTCAATGATTTTAAAGCTATTAACGAATAGTGAATTCCCGAAGGTTTCCGAGGGGTTAAATTAGCATAGAGCGATAAATCCTGAAAGCTTCTTTTTTCTTGTCACAAATATTTAGAAAAATTTGTTAGCATTCAATTAGATGTTAATTTTAAGATCTTCAACAATTTCATTCTATATGAGTGAACACTTTCATTCCTTTGAGTTAAAAATATATTCATTTTCCTAGCTTACTTGTTCCATTTCAACTAGTCGCTCAATATTTATCCATTAAATTTTTTCATCTCAAAATTATTGTTTTTTTTTTTTTTTGTCCTTCATAAAATTAGAATTTTTAGTTTAAAGCTTGAAAAAAGAAATTAAAAAAGTATACAACATAAAAGTCATTTATTTATTTCTTTTTCTTTTTCTTTATAAAAAAGAAAATGAAAGAACATTTTTAATAAATTCTTTTTTCTTTTATTTTCTCATTAGCAATCATTGATCATTTGTTGTTTAATTAAACAAGAAATCAGCACTGATGATTATTTTTCATTCGATATTGCAATCGTCAGTTGTTGTTAACAATATTGTTATATAATTTTAATGCACTCTTTCTTTTTTTTTTCTTCTTTATTTAAATTAATTATTTCTTACACATTTATTTCTCTTAATGATCAAATGAAAAATTTAATTTTCATATATATATTTATTAGCAATCTTTGCTTGATACATTTAAAATATTGCCTTCAATTTTCATTTATGTCATTGTCATGATGGAGTATTTTTGCCACTTTACATATGCTATCGTATCATTTTAATTCATATCTTTTCATTTTTCCTCATCTTATTTTTCACTGATAAGTAAAGGAAATTAATAAATTCTAGTAAAAAAGATTCTCACATTTGAAATTTTTGAAAATGTGAGTGAGGGAGCAACTGATAAAATAAGACTATCATAACTTTTCCTAAATGATTCTTTTGGAAACTGACAATGTTTAAAAGTTTTGTGGGCAAAAAAAAAAAATTTTTTTTCGGCAAAGGGTTGTGTTAGGCATGTTGAAGTTTTCGTCTTTTTTTAAAAAAACAAAATGTTATAAATTCTTTTATTTTGTATTTATCGTTTATTTTTTTTATGAAAAATATATATAAATTATTTTTTGTTTAGAGCAACATATTTCGTATGAAATATAATTGAAATTTTGAAATTTAAACAGAAAATAGAAATTGCAAAAAAAGATCGAAGTGAAATTTTTTAAATATATAAATTTTATATAAAAAAAAGTATATAAATTTTCCTTTTACTTAATAATATAAATGATTATTTTTAATAATATAAATGATTATTTCTTATTATTTAATATACAAACTTTTTTGCTTCTATCGGATGTATTTGAATTTGAAACCTAGACAATAATCACATATAGCATGTAATGCAGTCATTTAGTACATTAATTTGTAATTATTAATTAATATTTGTAAAATAATAGATTATAAATTTCTCAACTTTTGATTTTCAAATTAATCAGTTACTTAATTAAAGAACTTGTAAAAATATTCATAAAATAATTTTATAGAAATTTTCAAATTCAAATTACTTATTTACAATTAATTTGAAATTCAATTGTGTTAGATGAATGATCTTGAATCGTTAAATTTACCATCCATTTATTCTTGATCACTTTTTTTTTTCTTTTTCACCCCTCTCTTTCTCTCTCTCTCTCTCTCACGCAATGCATATTTGAAGGACCTTCCGACTTTTCACTTTCTAATTTTTTATTGATTTCATTTTCTCTGTTTTTTTCTTAGCGGAAAGAAAAAATGCAGTCACATCCTTTCGGATATAGATGGATATGAGTAATTAACTAATTTATAATACGAACAATTGATAATTGAACTTTCCTTGATCATTTCTTAAATGCAAAAAAAAATTCGCAGTATTATTTTAGGTGAAAATTTTAACAGCTTTTATTCCTTCATATTTTAAAACTGAAATTGATTTTGATAGAATTATAATGAAATTCTTTTTTTTTTTTTTTTTAAAAAAAATCTTATATAAATATATATATATAAATTAATATATTGATGTTTTTCTTTTATCACTTTATTTAGCTCCTAAACAATCGAATTGGTGATAATCAATTTTGAAATTTGAAGTGAAACTTATAAATGGATATCCATTTGAGAGTAATAAATTTTGATCTATAAAATAAACTAAAACTTATAAGTACAACATTTTTGCAAATTGAACAATTAAAATTGAATATAATATAAATGGAGGACTTCTTCCTTTTTCCTTCTTTTTTAAATGATTAAAGGAACTCTAAATTAATAACGTTTAAGAAAGTGGTAATAATATTAATTTTAAATCAAAAATTTTCAATTTGTTACAATTAATGCTATTTAATGAGTGTATAGATTGTGTGAAGTCATTCTAATCAGTTGAAACATCAGTCAACGAAGTTTCGAGAAACATAAAATTCAATTAATAAAGTTCACTGCTGTTAATTCTATCTTCTTTCATATAATTAATTGTCTCAACTTTACTGTTGATTTTAAAGAAACTTCTTTCTATGCTAAAGCTTACGCTAAAATAATTATCTACTAAAGCTTGATTATTTATATAAAAAAATTTGAAGACTTCGAAAATAAAATTTTAAAAAAAAGAATTTTTGAAACTGATTAAAATTTTCTTTTTGTTTAATTTCAAAGTTTTTCGTTCCTATTTGTAAATGATCATTTCTTGTATCAAATTTTCATTTCACTATTTAATCAACGATTTAAATGCATAATTTTAAATGTCATTTTTTGAAAGCAAAAAAAAAAAATTTCAATGCGGCAATTTACTTTTTTTATACTAATTAGATATCTATTTTATTTTTTCAATTCATTTAAGAGAAGAGAAGAAAAACAAACTTAGATATTCTTTAATTCATTTTATTTTTTATTTTTTCTACTTTTTCTTTCAAATATCAAATGCTAAATATTTTAGTAATATTATTAAAATCAAAATCTTAAATTGTTTATCTCTATTCACTGAAATATTTTATCTCATTTTCAAAATTAGAAAATTGAATTTGTTTTGCCTTTTCTTTTTTTTTTGTTATTTCTTTTTACTTTCTGATATTCTTGCTTTTTCTTTCTTTTTTTTTTTAAATTTTTTTTAGCAAAAATAAACGATCGTCCAATGGAACTTAAATCAAGCGGTGATTCTCTTCAAGGTCCTGGTATACAACGTCGCCGTGGCGCTATTAAACATGCTCGAATACATGAAATTCGTGGACATCAATTTGTTGCGACATTTTTTCGTCAACCAACATTTTGTTCACTATGTTCCGATTTTATGTGGTTTGTTTATCTCCTTTTTTTGTCTTTCATTTTTGCTCTTTTTTCAATATTTATTTATTTATTTTTTGTTGGCAAAATTGTAGTGAAATTTTAATAAAAAAATTAATGTTGCGAAGAAGAAAACAAAAAAAAGAAAGAAGAATGAATATTACTATAATATTACATTTTATTTTTTTTACTTCCATATTTCAAATCAATTTCTTTTTTTTTAAAAAAAAAGAAGAGGAAAAAGTGATTCATATATTTATGCTAATCAATTTTTTTTTACTTTCCATCTCACTTTTCATACTTATTTATTTTAATTAATTATATAAATGTTCCGTACATGCATGTACTATTTTCGCTCTTTCTCCCCTTTTCCCTTACCTTATTCATTAAAACATTTTTTTTAAATATATGTTTTTTCTTTTTGTCTTCTAGCAAATTAGCTAATGGAAATGATAAATTCATGCATTGATTTTGTTATGGAAATTAACTTTATGTTAAAAGAAAAGGAAGAAAAAAGAAAACGAAAAAAAATTTTTACAAAGTATTGATCGATGTTTTTCTCTCTTTTTTTTCAAAAAGAAAAAATAGAAAGTATCAAAGGAATATTTACCATTTTGGAAAAGATTTTTTAAGAAAATTTTAAAAAAGGAGACAAAACGGAAACATTTATGGATAATGCATGATTTAGAAATGATTTTAGAAATTAAAAATTTATTTATTTATTTAGCTATTAAACTCATTTAGGTACCAACTTGTAGGGGCCTTAATAAGCAAGGATATCAATGTCAATTGTGTAGTGCAGCGGTTCATAAGAAATGTCATGAAAAAATGATCAGTCAATGTCCTGGTTCAGCTGAAAAGACCAAAGATACAATTGTATGTTACATTTTTATTTATTTGTTTATTATTTATTTATTTTATTGTTTTATTTTTTATTTCTTCTTTATTTTGGTTAAATTATTTCACCAAAAATTAATTGTAAAAAAAAGAAGAAAAAACGGAATAATAAAGATTAGAAATAATAATGTAAATTATTTACTATTCATAGAGAAAATATTGGATCATTCATTATTTTTGTTTTTTTTTCTTTTTTGTTTTTAATTTCAGTATTTAAAAGAACGTTTCAAAATTGATATTCCACATCGTTTTAAACCGTATAATTTTAAAAGTCCAACGTTTTGTGATCATTGTGGCTCATTACTTTATGGTCTTTTTAAGCAAGGACTAAAATGTGAAGGTTTGATTTTTTTTCTCTCTTTTTTTCCTTTTTTTTTTTACATAATTCATGTTTATGGTTTATGTAATAAAAAAAAAGGAAAAGGAAAAAAAGAAAAAACTGCCTAGAATTTTAACAATAAAAAGATTTTCATTTGCATTTTAAATTCTTCCTTCTGAATTTTGTTATGAATTTAAACCAAAATTCCATTCACATGACTGATTGGTTGTTGGTGATAAGAAACGAATTAGCTTCCTAATCTTATGTAATACATATCAAAATAATTAAAAATGTGAAATAATATGCCTTATTTGTTTTTTCATTGCCGTCAAACTATAAATGACATTGTCTAGCAAAAACAGAACGATTACATAAAATTAAAATATCAAACTTTTTTCCCAATGTTTCAAATTTCTAAACTTTTAAATTATTGAAAAAAATTTATATATTTTTTACTAAACTAAAATTTTGAAAAAAAATTTGCTAATTTTTAATTCATTGAAAATTTCAAACAAAAACTTTCAAACTTTGTTTAAATATTTAAATAACACGGAAAATTTTTATAATTAGTAGAAAAAATTTTTTTGTTTGTTTTAGTAATTTTTCTTATAAATTATCAAATTATAATTAAAATAGATTTTTATATTCAGTCTGTGGCGTTGTATGCCATCATAAATGTCAACGATATATGCCTAACTTATGTGGTGTTAATCAAAAGCAACTTTCGCAAGCATTATTTGAAATTAAACGTGGTGCGCATGGTCAAACAAGGTAAATTGCATATATTTTTTCTTTCATTCTTTTTTTTTTTTTTTTTGTTAGACTAAAATTTTGAAAGGAGAAATCTGCTGATTTTAATTCATTAAAAATTTAAAAAAAAATTTTTCAAACTTTATTTAAATAAGACAAAAAGATTTCATAATTAATAGAAAAAAATTTTCTTTGTTTGTTTTATTAATTTTTTTTTTTGATGAATGAGATTATAACATAAAAATATTGATCAAAATGAAAAAAAAAGTGTTAATTTTAATCAATTAATAAATTTCAATCATTATTTTATTGTTTGATAAGTTTTCTTCTTGTTTTTTGCTATAAAATATTAATTAGTTGAATTAATGATTGATTAATTAATTCTAATGATATTGTAATTATTATTTTTCTCTTTATCTTTTCGTTTTTTTCTTGTTCTTTCTTTAATTAATAAACTAATTAAAAATTATTTGTAGTGCTCCAGCTGGTTTTGGTGCAGTGACATTATCAGCTGGATGTAATGTACCAATGGAATCACGTAGCATTTCCTCATCATCATCAAATGGTTCAACATGCAGTGGCTATAAATTTCCGGATCGTTTTAAAGCTTTTTTCCGTTATCACAATTATAATTTAGATAATCATAGTGATAATGAAGAGTAAGCTTTGAATTAATTATAATAATTTTATCGATAATTTAAAAAAAAAAAGAAAAAACGGAAAAATGAAAAAAAATTAGCTCACTGCTTTCTGTTTTTTCTTTATTTTAAATTTGTTCAAAAAAATATAAAAATTCAAAAAATGCAGAATTCAAAAAATAAGTAAATCAGAAGCAAAACAAAGTAAAAAGTTGATGAATGAATCAATATCTTATAGATATATCAATGCACCATGGAGTACAGCAGATGGTATCAAAAAATACGGGCTACAGCATTTTAATGTTTGCAAAGTGCTTGGAAAAGGAAGTTTTGGAAAAGTTTGTTTGTTTTTGCTAATTTTAAAATTTTACTCTTTTTAATAATTAAATTCGTTAGTTAAATAATTGATTAAATTAATTCACTAATTAATTAATCAACTGTAAAACGAAAAACAAACAAACGAAATGTTTCATTCATTCATTCCTTTCCTTCTTTTATTTTTTTGAGATCCTTTTTTTCCATTTCTTTTTCTTTTTTTTTGAAATAAAATATACTTAAAATATAATTAAAAGAAAAATGAAAAAAATATGCATATAATAATTTTTTTCAAATAAATTATGTCTAAATAAAATACAATAGAATAAGTGATAGTAACGTGTATTAAAATATAAATATTCCTTTTCTATTTTTATTGAAAATTAATTTTTTTTAACATAAAAAAAAAAAAAAAAAAAAAAAAAAAACGAAAATTAAAGGTATTATTGGTGGAACTTAAAAATAAGGATGAATATTATGCGATGAAATGTCTTAAAAAGGATGTTATATTGGAAGATGATGATACGGAATGTACGTTTATCGAACGACGTGTACTTATTTTGTCATCTCAATGTCCATTCCTTTGCCAGTTATTCTGTTCTTTTCAAACAAATGTAAATTTTAATTAATTAATATTTTCACTTTAAATACTAATATGTATATTTGTAAAATTTTACATTTAAAATGAGTTTTTCAAAAAAGAAAGAGAAAAAACTAAAGTATCTTTTTTATATTCGCTTATACACTCATTCATACTTACATATTTGAAATCTCAATGGTAAAGTATATTAATTTAAAAAATTTTTAAATTTATAAGAAATGAATTCAAAAAAATGGAAAAAAGAAAAATAAAAAGTGAGAAAGAAAATTTCTTTTACATTCTTTCTTAGGAATATTTGTTTTTTGTAATGGAATATCTCAAAGGTGGTGATCTCATGCATCATATTCAAGCAAGTAAAAAATTTGATGAAAATCGTTCACGATTTTATGCTTGTGAAATTATCATTGCATTACAGTTTCTTCATGCACGCGGCATTATTTATAGGTTCTGCCTTTTTTTTTTTTCATTAAAAGAATTTTTATTAAAAAGAAATTTTGTTCTTCATCAAATACAGAGATATTTTTCATTTTTTTTTTTTATTTGGGAAAAAGAAATTGTTGAAATGTTTTTTCTTTTTTTTTTTATTTTTTATTTTAGATGACATTTCAAAGAAACAAAAACAAAAGAAAAAATGAAATTCATTTGATATTTTAATCTATTCGTAAATTAACAAATAATTAGTAATTGTTCATAGTTTGCTTTATTTATTTGTTTTTTTCTCTTTTTTTTCAGAGATTTAAAATTGGATAATATTTTATTGGATTCAGATGGGCATATTCATTTGGCGGATTTTGGTATGTGCAAAACGGAAATGAATCGAGAAAATGGTATGGCATCAACATTTTGCGGTACACCGGATTATATTGCACCTGAGGTATGGAATATTTAATAATTAATTATTAAGAATAATGAATAACTTTTAACCATTCATATTTCATACTTTTTTTTCTTTGGTTATACATGAAAAAGGTAAGCAAAAAATGCACTAACAATCTGAAATAAATAAAATCCACGAAAATTTTTCAAGAATCAAAATGGAAATCATTTTAGTTAACTGTTGCCAAAAGATAAAATTACAAACAAAGATTTTATGATTACTGTTCCCATTTAATATTGAAAAAAAAAAGCAAAAGAAATTCCTAATTTACTTTTAACCTAATTATCAGGAAATTTTGAGATATGAACAATAATTATTGCTGTTTCATATGTATGTATTTTATTTAAATAATATTAATAATTAATTTTAATGTTTATAACTGACAATTAGTAGTAATAATAAACACAATATTATTTTAGATAATTAAAGGCCAATTATACAATGAAGCGGTTGATTTCTGGTCATTTGGTGTTTTGGTTGGTGCAACAATTCCTCTTTGTTTTTGTTTTTTCAATTTAAAATTTATTTTGAAATATAATTAATTTTGAATAATAAAATGTTGAAATCATTATTTGTCCTTTTTTTTTTTCTTTTTTTTACGGGAAGAAATGCATTTATTTTACTTCAAGTTATATTTAATTAATAGAAGAAAGAAAAAGCTGTTTTTTCCCAATTATCTAGATGCTACAAATTAATTTTTAATTAATTTTTACTCTTTCTTTTTCTTAAGCTCTATGAAATGTTAATTGGACAAAGTCCATTTCATGGTGAAGGAGAGGATGAGCTTTTTGATTCAATCTTAAATGAAAGGCCATATTTTCCAAAAAGTATTGGTAAAGAAGCTGCTAAATGTTTGAGTGCGGTAAGTATGTTGTATAAACTATAAGTAACTGAAATTATTAATTGAATTAAAAATTGCAATATTTAATTATATAATGTTAATTTAAAATTAAATTTTTTATTATTTGTATAAAAAAAATTTTTTTCCTAATCTCAATTTTTCCTTTTTTCTCAGTTATTTGATCGTAATCCGAATACTCGTCTTGGTATGCCAGAATGTCCAGATGGTCCAATACGAACACATTCATTCTTTCGTGGTGTTGACTGGAAAAGATATGAAGCGCGACAAATGCCACCTCCGTTTAAACCTTCTGTGGTATAAAATAATCTTTCTGTTTCTTTATTATTATTATTTTCAATTTACAGTTTTAAATATTTATAATATTTTTTAGAATTAAACTATGAAAAATGTTTGAAATGAAATGTTTTCATATGTATGAAATAATAGAATACTGTGAGTGAATAACCTTTATTACTCTTTTTTTCTTTTTTTACTATTATTTTTTTCTATTTTGCATTTTAAATACTTTAATGTTTTTTAAATTTAAAATTTGAAAGATGTTTAAAATGAATTGATCGAAGTTTTCATCTATATGAAATAACTATGAGTGAATAATCTGTCTTTTCCTTATCATTATTATTTTTTTAATTTATATTTTAAATACTGTAATGTATTTTAAAATTAAAATTTGAAAAATGTTTCAAATGAAAGGATAAAAGTTTTCATTTATAGGAGACGATAAAAAATTTTGTTTTTGTGAAAAATATTTCAATTCCTCTATAACTTTATCATTCATCAGCACTTGTTATAGTCCAAAAAAAAAAACATTTTTCTTAATTTTTAATCATTTATAATTTATTGGTCTTGTTTATTGTTTGCAGAAATCAGCAAACGACATTTCCAATTTTGATGATGATTTTACGCAGGAGAAGCCAACACTTACACCAATTGCTGATAAAACATTGTTAGCATCAATTGATCCGGAGGCTTTCCTGAACTTTTCATATACAAATCCGGAATTTAGATGATAAAATCATTATCATTTTTTCTTTTTTTTTCGTTGTCTTCCTCTCTCTTCTTTTCGATTTTTTATCCATTTTATGCTGTTTACAAAATTTTTTTAATAATTTTTTCAAATAATGTTGTTTTTTTCTGTCTTGTTTCATTTTCTTTCTTTCTTATTTTTTTTTTTTAAATTCGTTTTGTATCAAGGATCTCTTCAACTTTTTTCTTTTTGTGTAGAATAAATAGCATTGCTAAAGATTTTTTATATTTCCTATGCTGCTACACATACATATATATAAATATATCTGATTGTACCATACATAAATATTTTCTTTTTTTCCTAATTAATTATAATTTAAATAACTAACAATAATAATATCAAATATTAATGATGAAAAAAAAAAAAAAAAAGAAATACAAAATTTCATTGATTTTTCTTCGCTGTAAAAGTTTTGATTTTTTTAAAAAACAAGTAAAATAATATTTGAAATTGTTAATTTTTAAATAATTCATTTTCTTTCTTTTCCTATTTTCCTCTTTTTTCGTTTGCTTCTTTTTTTCTACCTGTGAAATTCTTACCCTTTCTTTTTCTTCATTTATAAAATATATGATTAAAATATATTTATTTCAAATTGTTATTCGAATGCAAATTTATTCATGAAAAATTTTTTAAAATAATATGTGTGACATTTCAAGTTTATCACTAAAGTAGTTACAAATGAAAATGAAATAAATGGTATTTTATTATTCTTAAATGCAAAAGTAATAATCGTTTTTCATTTCGTTTTTTTCTTTTTTTGAATTATCTAAATTTAGATTTGATTATTTTAGAATGTAAGAGAATGACAGCGAGAGAGAGTTTGTTAAAGCATGTAATGATGAAATTAAGTATGAAAAAAATGGAATCATTTTGTGAACTACATTGTCTTAAAAAATGGTATCGTAATAACCAATTAGTGATATTCAATTGTATTTCACTTTGAATTTTTTTCATTTTGGGAAAAACTTGATTTATCTGTCAAAAATTTTGACTTATGTTTGATAATAACCTAATTTAAACTGCATATTTTCATTTTTAAACAAAATGACTTTTTGTTATTTCGAGCGAGAAAGATTGTTGGAATAATTAGAGATCGTATGGAATAATTAGAGTCATCGTTAATTTAATGAGCTAAATTGTCATTTGGAATTTGAATTGATGATGGCATTCATGAAATTGACGATGATGATACATTTCATTTAATTTATAGTTGCTTCTTTTTATCAATTTTTTTCCAAAGAAAAAATTAGAAAAATTAGTTCAGAATTGTTTCTCACACAACTGTAATTATTTTAGAGTAAAACAAAACAAAACAAAGAGGAAAAAAACATGCAAACAAAAAAAAAAAAAATAGCAAGATCATTTTTGGAAAACAAAAATTAAATACTCCGTTTTCTTTTCAATTGAAGTTCTTTTTTCTTATCCCTTTAATTAATTAAAAATTAAAAGAAAACGAAATGAATAGTAATTGTAGCAATTGCAATAATAATAAATAATAGCGATCGAAATGTTGAAGAAATACGAAGCTATTAGCTATTACAGCTTACTATTCGAAAGTACGAAGATTATAAAATTGCGGAAGTTAGCGTTTAAATATATATCAAAAATTTTTTGACATAAAAATCATTTTTTGTTAACAATGCAACAAATTTTGAAAATAAAGTAGGTTTTTGAACTGTTGAAAACGGATTTTATCATGTCAAAATAAAACCAAAAAAAAAAAATGAAGAAAGAAAAAAAGCATTTACACGGAAAAATATTTTGAAATATTGTAAGAATGTGGCAAAATATAAATAAATGTCTTTTATTGCAAATATAAATAACTTTTCTTTCTTCCTTTCTATTTTTTTTTTTTGGCAACGTTATAAATTTGTAAAAAAAGAATACTGAAAGAATCTTTCTTTCAAAAAAAAAAAACAATAATTAAAAAATAATTACAAAAAAAATATGAGCAAAGAACGATTTACAATTAAACATGATAAGAAACAGAAAAAAATAGTAGAAAAATTAAGGATAAAAATCATTTGCCACATATGAAACAGCAATCATATATTGTTCCTGATGCCTTATTTTTAAAATTGAAACGTCAAATTTCTAAAATTTTAAATATATAATGTAACTTAAATATTTTGATAAAAATAATGACATATAGCGAGCTATATTTCTCCTGATGAAATTGTTAAAATAATGATAACAAAACGAAATGAAATAAATGGTGTATTTATTTAATTTCAAAGATTTTTGATAAAAATGATTCCAAAATTTAAGGTGATGTAAATTTTATGATAATTTTTCAACAATTGTTTCAAAAATTGGTAATTTTTCAATAATTTCGGAAATTTTTAATAAAATTAATTTTAAAATGATGTAAATTTCAAAACAATATAATATTTCAACTATTGATTATTAAATTTCATTTCATTTAATCATCATTAATTTATCAATTGCATAAAAAAAAATATAGCTGGTCAAAAGGCATTATTTTGATGATTTTTCTTATTTATTTCACATGTAAATATTTTAAATTATATTAAATATTTGGAAAATTTAAAACTTTAACACCTAAATAACAAATGATGCTATTTTCCAATCAATCTTAGTTAATGCAATTCATTTTTTTTTGGCTTATAATAATGAATAATCAAGTGCATATATTGAATTGACATTGCTGTTTAAAAATTTGAAAATAAATACAGTTTTATTGTGCATTTATAATTAATTCTATAACATTTATTACTGCACAGGCTATTTAATTAGTGGTCATTTGGTCACTACTCACTACTTACCATTACTACTACCATCTATTGAATTGATATTTACAGTTGTGTATTAGAAGACACACACATATATATATATGTGTGCGCCTGTTTGTGTGTCTGTATAGGTATATTTATATGTGTGTACGCATGAATCATCGCAGAAAATGATTGCCATAGATAGTATTGGAAAAGCGACCGGATGACATCGAATAGATGTCAAGGTCCCTTGCTCAAATTGACACACGCACACATACACATACACACAGACAGACACTTAACACGACAAGATAAAGATACACATATATACGTAAATATACTAATTAGAGGTGAGGTGAGGTCCTGTAGTAGTCCTCTAATGCCTCTAGACTATCCTGTAGTCCTTCAACCCTACACTATCCCTATTTTCAACATCAATCCTGATCATAGCCAGCTTCCCAGCACCAATCCTGACTCTTTCCAGAAACAATCCTGATCATATCCGGCTTCTCAGCATTAATCCTAGCTCTTCTCAGAATAAATCCTGATCAACACATTACTGATTATACTCTGCTTCACAGCATTGATTTCGATCATATTCCGTTTTTTTGTTGTGAATCCAAACCATATTTTACTCCATTGTTAATTTCATTATCATGAAAATATTTCCGATATGTAAATTTTTTTATTTATAAAATTGAAAAAAAATAGTTTTAACTTGAGTTAATTAATTATTTTGCTACTCAGTTTGTTTATTGAAAGAACAAAGAAAGTCCTACGCAACGTTCACGTGGAAACTCAATATGTAATTTGTCACGTGTAGTAGAATCATGTAATACTGTAAGCCAGTGGACTCATTTTATGATAATTAGAGAAGGACGAAGTGCATAATAAAGGTGAAGATAATTTATGCTAATCTATAATATTTTGATCAAAATTAAAAAGCTAAAATTAAGACTGCTTTATAAGTTGGGAAATGCAGAAAAGAATAGCAATGGCATAATATAGGCCATTTTTTTTTTTTGACACAAAATTACAAAATTTTTAGCAATTCAATAAGAGATAATGCCATATTTTAATTAGGAAAGTAATAAAATTTGTTGACACAACAAATTTTATCAATTATATAGCATTTTCAGGTTAAAAAAGGTCAAAAAAACTTTCTCTGAAATATATACCAAGTTATTTCTTATCAATTTAATTTTTTTTTTTTTGTTTCTTAATTTTAAATTCGCTAAACTTTAAGATTCATGTTGTACATAAAATTTCCTTTTTCGAAATAATTTTTTAAAAAATACTATATTTTTGAATAGGAATTTGAAATAACACCTTGCATTTCTATTTTTTAAAGTATTCGTTTAATTATTAATTTTCTTCTAGTAATCCATTTAAAAAAGTTCTTTGAACATTTTTAAAATTTTACATAGAGAATGTTATATTCCTCTGCAAAATTCAAAATTAACTAAAACTCCAAATTTAAACGAAGACTTTGAAAGAAAAAGAAAATGAAAGCGAAAAAAAAAACAGAAAAGGGAAAAATTTTTTTAGAACTTTTTTAGAAGAAATTTCAAAAAAAAGACATTTTATGACACCGATTAATTTACAAATAATTTCATCGCATACCGTTTTTTATTTTATTTTTTTCTCCTTATCTTTTTTGTTTCATTATGCTAACTTCGCAAAAAAAAAAACAAAGAAAAACGAAGAAAAGGCATAGAAAGAAGCGTAAAATTGATTGAGTAAATATTTTTTGAACACTTTTTTTATAAAAATTTCATTCAAAAAAGAAAGAAAAAGATACAAATTACTGTTATTATTATTAATAGGTATTGATATAAAATGATCAAATTCATTTAATATTATTGCTAAATACGAATGAACGATCAATCTTTGAAAAAAAGAATAAAAAAAAAACGATAAGTCAAGTGCTTTCTCTGCCTTAGAACTAATAAATGTTTGGCTTTTCTTTTATTTTTTCTGATTTTCAAGTAGAAAATGTCACCTGAAATATGTCAAGGGTGTCACCCATTTTATACTCCCATTCATTCATTTTAGCCAACAATTTCATTCTTTCTAACTATTTTTAAACTTTTTACAAATCTTTTTGAAAAATTCTTTTTTTTGGTTATTTCATATTTTTATTTGTAAGTATTGTTTTTTCCTCTCCCACTTTCTTTCTCTCTCTCCTTCCCCTCTCTCCCTTTCTTCCACTCGTCATTAATTTTTAATGAATGGATAAAAAATTGAAAAAATCAAAAATTTCAAAACATTTATTGTGAATAAAATGTTAAAATTTGAATAGTTGCATAGATTTACATTATAATTGAATAAAATTAACATTATTACATTTTTTACAATTTCAATCAATTACAATACTTATAAGTATTACTTTTAAAAATTAAATTTTGCATAATAATAATAATTTATATTATTATATGCTAAATTTTTTCTCAAAAAAAGAAAAGAATTTTTTTTTCGATTTATATTCTGAAAACTTTTCAGGGATTTCTTACAATTCAAGATTAAATAGAAGTGCAACTTTTGTTTAAAAAATGAACACATTATGAAAAATTTTTATTTGCATTATTTTTTAATAATTTTAAATTATTATCAAAAAAAATTTTTTTTCTTTTCATTTTTTCACGTTCCCTTACGCTTTTTTCCTTCTCTACATTTTTTTATAATTTAATTAATTAAATTTAAAGCCCATTTTTCATGCAGTAAATATATATGAATGTTTTGTATAATTTTAATTTCGTTTTTTCTAAAATTCTTTTTTATTTTTTTCTTTCTGTTTCTTCACGTTACCATGGCAAAAATTATTCATACTATATTAACTTTGGTCAAAATTGCCAATTTCTATCGTTTTCTCATTTTCCAATTCCTTTTTTTTTCATTATTTTTTTAAAATTCGTAATTAAAATATTTCTCTTTTTTCTTTCACTATCTTTTACCAAGTCATTTATAATAATGTATAAATATAGCCTTCAAAGACATTGGATAAAATACAATTCTCATATATTTTACTTTTTCCAACACTCCATCATTTAAATTCTATTTATTGTTTTAAGCATATGACGAAAAAAGCAAAAAAAAAAAAAGAAAACGAAAATATTAATCAAATTCATTACTGTGAATTTTTTCCTGAAATAAATTATTTTTTTTCGAAATTTCTATTTTTAAAGTAATATGTTATAAATTATCATATCAGCTAATTCGTTATCAAAAGTGATATTTTCAGCTGGATGCATATGTTTTACGGATTATGGATCATTTATTTATTTACTCCATATGGTTTAATTTTTTCTTTTTTTTTTTTTTTTTTTGAAAAATAAGCTTTACTTTTTAAAATAATAATAATAATAATTTTAAAATAATTTATTGTAAAGGTACACTAAACTCGGCAATAAAAAGAAAAAAACCTAGCAAAGTTTTATGGTTTAAAATACGATTTTTTTTTTACATTGTTTATTTAGTGAAATTTTTTCCTTCTTGCAATAAAAAAATTTTGTTTAAATTCAAACTAAAATTTAATTTAATTTAAATTAAAATTAAAAGTTAAACTAACTAAAATTTAATATACTTTACATATGTCTTTTGGTGTTTAAGAAAAAGAAAAAATGCTTCCATTTTTTCTATTTTTTTTTTGAATAAAAAAATGAAACTGTTAAGAATAATATGGTTGTAGTTAATCATTAATTAAATATATCAATTCAAAATCAATTAATTAATTAATATAATTATTCAATTATATTTTTTAAAATTGTTTTAATTTTTATATTTGTCATTTTTTTCCCTTATTTCAGTGCTAATATTAGATGATTAATAATATCAATTAATGATTTTTTATTTTTTTTGTTATTTTTCTTTTTTTGAATTTTAAAAAATATTTCTTCTTTTCTTTCTTCTTTTTAAGCAACAAGTGGAATAAACTGTAATCCAATATATGTACGATGGCAACGAGTTAAAATAATGTTCGGTGCACGAATTGAAGGACCATATTCATTTCGCGCATGTAAAGGAGCGTGCGCAAATGACGAAGATCCTGTGAAAAGTGATAATGAAATACAGTGCTCAGGGTTTAAATTTTTTTTTACTAATTAATTAAACTATATTTCTGCCTTAATTGTTGCTATAGCTATTTTTCAATTAGTTTAATTCGTTCACTTTCTTTTGCTTATGATAAAAGTGAAAAAAAAAAAAAAAATTCTTTCATTTTTTTTTTTTATTTTTATTAGTTGTTTGGCTCATTCTTTTTTCTCGTTAATTATTTACAAAATTTGCTATAGTTTTTTTTCTTATATTCAATTGAAAAAAATTTTTTCATTGTACTTAAATTTTTTTTTATCCTTTTTTAAAATAAAAAGAAAAACAAGAAAACATTAAAAACAACATATGCATATGAAAGATGATAATAAAATAAAGTTTTAAAGTTTTTTTTTTCGGTCTTGAATAATTTAAGGATAATTATAATTATGCGTCAATTAATTGATTAAATAATAATTAAATAATGCATAGATTCAATCATCGTCAAGGTTTACCACAATATTCACAACATTGCCAATTATATCAAGCTGATCAATTACAACATGGTGAAAGTTTTTTTGAAGCCGATGATAGATATTCATTTTATTGGGAATATTGTGTTCAGTGTAAGTCTTTTTTTTCATTTCTTTTTTAAATTATTTAATAATTTTGTTATTTCATTTAAATATGATAACTGAATAAATTTGTTTCATTATATATTTTTTATTTGTGTTTTTTGGTAAAAATTTGATTAATTTAAAATAAAACAAAATTAAAAGAAAAAATATTCGATTTTTTTGTATCATTTTATTTTACTTAAATATTTCTAAATCCAATTTGCTAAATAATTTTTATTTCAAATTTTACTGTATTTAATTGCTTTAACAATAAGTATTTGCTTTACTTTATTTAATATTTTCTTTCCTTTTTTTTTTGCTCCAAACGTTTTTTCGTTTCCTTTTAAAAAGTTTTTTATTTTTTTAATTATAAATGAAATAAATTATAATTTAAATGAATAAATAGTTATTGCGGTGAAGAAATAAATGTAACAAGATATTTCAAGGCTAAATAATTATTGTTCCATTGCGATAAAATAGGTCATTCATCTATCACAAAACATTCACAAGCATATGAAAAAGTGAAAAAGAAAAAAAAGTGATGAAATTATAAAGTAATTAATTCTAATAAAATATTTGTAAAAATTACAAAAAAATTTCAAATTTCAAATTGTTGGTCATTTAATTAAATTGATTAATAACATCTTAAATTTTTTTTTTTGTTGATGTTTTTGTTTTTGCGAATAAAAAAAGGAGAAAAAAAAAACAAACATAAAAAAAGATAAATGAATTAATTAATAACTAATTTTTGTTTACTTCTTTCTTTTTTTCTTTTTTATAACTTCAAATTTTATTTAAATTAGTAACTAATTTTTAAGTATCTCTTTGTTTATCCATCTATCGTTTTAAAATCTCATTTTAATTAATAATCGATTTTTATGTATTTCTTCGTTTTTTCTATCGTTTCAAATTTTATTCAATAACTTTTTTCTCATGTTAAATTGAAAAAAAAGCAAAGAATTTATTTTAGCAAATAAAAGTTGTTCGGGCGATTATGCATTCACATATTTATCAGATCGTTATATGGATTTACGTGAAGTTCGTGAAGTGATGCGAACTAAAACTCTTGAAGATTGCTTAAGTGCATGTTTGGACGCAGTAAATTATGCATGTCGTAGTGTTTCCTACAATCGTACTGATGGTGATTGCTTCTTATCACAGCATAATCAACTGAGTAAACCAGCATTGATCAAAATTAACAACAATCCCAACTACCGAATTGATTATTACGAAAATAGTTGCACAAATAGTTAGTTATTTAAATTAATTAATTAATTAAGGTGTATAATTTGAAATGAGAAAATTTTTCTTCGGAATAAAAAAATAATAAGAATAAACCATAAATATTTTGCGCTTAATTTTAATATTTAATTTTGTACGTTTTTTTTTTTTTTTTAAATAAAAAAAAGTTGCGATTAATTATGATTTCATTTAATGCAAAGAAATTATTTTATACCATTTTTCTCTCTCTCTTTCTTTTTTTTCTTTTTTTTTTTTAATAATTTGCCGCTTTTTTTTCTCTCTTAAATTTAATTTTAAATTGTTATTGGAAGTACGAAAATAAAAAGTTATAGTTTAGTTGCAGATTCATTCACATTTGATTACGAGTGCAAAGATGATGGAATAGAGGTGAAGGTCATTTCAAAGTATCCATACACAGGTGCCATGTATGGCCTTTATGACTTTTTCACATGTCGTATTGAACCTAAAAACAACACAAATTTTGAATATTTCTTTCCATCACCAACAATTTCCAAGAATTGCAGTGATAGTATACGTTATAAGGTAATTACAATTTTTCGTTTTCTTTGTTTTAAAAAAAAAAAAATTTATTAAATTTGAAATAATAAATAACATGAAATTTGCTTAGTGAAATAAATGAAAAATGATAGAGCAGAAAAAAAAAAAGAAAAAAACTGAATAAAACGAAAAATATTATTATTTGATGATATAAAATTCAAGTAGAAGCATGAATGACAATAATAGAAATTAAATATATGATATTAACATTTCTAATATTTAACTATTTGAATTTATTCGTTAAAAAATTTAATAAATGTTTTAGATCAAAAAAATTTATACCATTATAATTTTAGGGAAAAGATATGGTATTAGAAATAGTTATATCAACAGATGGTGTTGAACCATTATATTTTATAACACCTGATGATCTTACCTATCAAGCTCGTTGTCCATTAAATGAAGCTAAACGTTTAGATCAAAGTACCGATCATCATTCAACCCTTAAAAAGTAGACATTACTATTTTCTTTCTTTCTTTTTTTAAAGAAAAGAGAAAGAAATTATCATCTAGTAATAATTAATGGAGCAAAAAAAAAGCTTATATTTCTTTCCTTTTATTAATTAAAAAGAGAAAAATTTGTTTTCTAAAAAATAATTGTATTATTTCAGAAAATAATTAAAAAATTACATACACTTTTCAAAATTATATCTCACTTCTTTATTTTTTTGTTTTTTTTTTTTTTTTTTTTTTTTTACTTTTTCATTTTGGCATGCATCATTTTAATTAAAATATATAAAGTGAACGAATAATTCCATTAGCACTATTTATTGATAACTTTATTTCTTTTTTTGCATGTTTTATCATATTATCATTTATGTACAATAATTTTTGCATGATTGCATGATTGAATGTTTCAGTGATGCAACAGTTGATAATTTGAAAATGATCGCATCAGCACATACATTATTTTCGATGTTAGCAAATGCAACTAAACAACGTCATTTATCAAGTATCAACAAAAATTTGACATTAAAATATGCTATTACTAATAATCATATGAATAATTTTATTGATAATAATACATTACATTCAATTAATAGTACTATTACTGATATTAATAGTACTTCAACAATAAAATTGTTAGTATTAACAGCAACAACAATAACAACAACACCATTATCATCATCATCATCAACAACAACAACTACTACTACTACAACAATTACTACTACTAATATAACACCTATTACTACTACTATTACTATTACTAGTAATACTACTACTACTGTTCCTGCTGCTACTACAGCTAATGATGATATGACTACTACTATTGAAGCAGTTAAATCGAAATTTGATTCTAAAACTGATAAATATGATGAAAATATAAGCACTGCTGCCAGCGATTCAATAAGTTCAACAAATTCAGAATTTGAAATGTATAATTTAGCTACAAATAAAATTACACCAAGAATATTAGATGTAACAGCAACCAGACGAAATGCCATGTATCCGGAAGCAACATCAATACATAGTATGATTCCATCGAGCTCTGAAATATTTTCGAAAACAAAAATGTTAGATAAAATGATGTTTACAACAACAATAGCAACAACAGTAACCACTACTACTATTACGACAACAGCAACAACAATTCAAAAAGAAAATATTTACAACAATGATGTTACATTGAATGAAATAGAACGTAAATATTTTATGAAAAAAACAATAATATTAAAGTAACGACTAATAGTAAATAATAGTGATAAATAACAATAATAATAATAATAATAATAATAATAATAATAATAATAATAATAATAATGAATAGTGAATATAATAAATAATAATAATAACAATAATAATGCTTTACATTTATTTTAAGCTCTCTTGTTTTTTTTCGAATATTTTGGACAAAAGGGATTTATAAATTTTTAAATTTTCCGGGAAAAACAAAATCATGCTTAGTATTTTCTTCTTTTCACGATTATTAACAAACTTTTTAAATTAGTAATAAACCAAAATAAATTTTTAAAAAGTATCATTTATAAAATTTCGTATTTTATTGGTCAAATCTCTTTTTTATTATTTTCTTTTTAAGTTCTACAATGTTTTGTTTTTGTTAATTTTGTCATTCAATTTCATATTCCTTCTCACTTTTTTTTTTTTTCATTTTCTTTTAATTCCTTTTTTATTTGAGGAAATTTGATTTGAATATATATTAATGCAAAAGAGAATGTATAGCTTTTACACATGGAATTTAATTGTTTTTCTTCTTTTTTTGTTTTTGTTGAATAATTAAAATTTAGAAAAGCATGAAAGCACGGAAATTTCACCTATCAATGAAATCAATAATACATTTCTGGGGTCAAATAGTAGTAGCACTACGTTTACAAATTTATGCACTACTATATCAATACCTGGAAGCAGTATCACAAACACTATGTTTACTGATAGTAGTAGTACAAGCAGCACTATCACTGATGCACTTCCACTCATTTCTTCAGATAATAAAATTATCCAGCAATCAGTGTAAGTTCATCACTATTATTAACAATTATTATTAGTTTTGCATGATTAAAGCTCATTATAATTTTGTTTAATTTAATGGAAAATAAAAAAACAGCAAATTTTCTTTTTTTTTTTTCTTAGTTAGGAATATGTTAAGATGTGTAGTTGTTTAAAACTTTATTTTTAAGCAAAGGAAATATTAGAATTATAAAAAAAGACTAGTTTTATGCAGTGAAAAATCGGGAGATTAGACGTATATGCAAGAGTGATTACAAGATTGAATATGCCTATAAATCTTTACAAAAATTATTGCGCATCCTCAATGGATGAGAATATGCTTATGTCATAGTGACGAATTATACAATCTCAATAAATGTCTGAATTAATTTCATCGGAAATTGTCTTATTCCTGCCGAATTTGTGTTAAGAAAAAAGTAAAAAATTATCCATATTTTCTATAAATAGTATCATTGATTAGTTGATTACTTATACAGTAATTTTATGTCAAATTTAATTTTGTCTGAATATTTTAATTTTTCAATTGAAAATGGAATAACATTTTTTTAAGGTACAATACGATAATGACATTTACAAATGTAAATGATATAATGGAGAATTCAACACTTCCATTAATATTGCCAACAACAGTGGAATTTATAACACCAGCATTACTAGATGCTGAACAAAATTCAAGAAATGCCGAAACATCATCATTGTTATCATCAATATCATTATCATCATCACTGTCGTTATCATCATCAACAACAACAGCAACAGCAACAACTATGAATGATATTATTAAAGCTATAACATTAACGGAAACAACAACAACAGCGACAACAACAACAAATACACTAATTGAAATAACAAAAGCTACACCAATAACAGATGAAAGAATAAAAATTGGCAATGATCATTCAACAATGACTGTAACATTAGAACAATTTGTTGCCGGAAAAGAAGATAATAATATTTCAATTCAACGAATAGCAGAAATTCCATCAAAAAATACAACAATAACCTCATACAGGTAATTTATTCTTTTTCGAAACTAATAATTCAATTTGTTTTCCAGAAGAAAGAATAAACCATTATAATTGAAATGATTTAGTGTTTGTATTAAAATAATAAAAAGAGATTTGATATTAAAGTAATTGAAATATTTTAATATTCTATTAAAAGTTACATTTCAATAATGAGATAATTTCTTGTTTTATTTCTTCCCTTTTTTTTCATCGTCTCATCTAAACAAAACATTTAACACTTAAATATCGATAATAAATTATTTTTTATCATGAAGAAATCATCTCATATGAATGAAATAAGACAAACATCAAATAAATCATTGATAACGTTTCAATATGAATTTTGTACTTTTTTTAGCGTAAATAAATCATTACCTCACGTAAATGATACAAGACTAGCATCAAATGATGCTGTTATTTTCGATATCTTTCATAATGGACAACCAATTGAAGCGGTAGTTGTTGGAAGTAAAATAACACTTAGTTTCATTCCATACTACGCTATTCCACGTATGTTTCGTAGAATTAATTAATTTTTTTTTTTTTTTTTCCTCAATTATATATTTTTAACTTATTATTTGAAATGAAAATATAAACTTCAATTTATTCTTAAAAGAAAAGAATTTTATTATAATATTTTAGCAATATATATGAGTATAAAGGGATGCCAAGTTGAGCCAATTGGATCAATTTATGAATGGGAACGTGAACCATTAGCAATAATTAAGGATGGTTGTCAAGCGGATCACGTTGGTTTAGTATGTCCACCGCAAAAAACTGAATATGGTATACGAGTAATTGCTGAATCATTTCGATATCAGACAACATCAAAAGTACAATATTCCTGTCTTGTCAGGATTTGTCCATTTTCACCATGTCCATTGGTAATATATTACATTTAAAATTTAATAATTTTAATAAATTTATACAAATTTAATCAATTCAAATTCTTAAGAATTAAATTAAACATAAGCAAAAAAAAAAAATAATAATAATAATATAGGAAACATGTGAAGAAGTGGAAGGTTGTGGTAATTCAAATCTTTTATCAAATACTTTTGGATTACGTATCAAACGTCATATTACAATTGATGATATACGAGCAGCATTAGTAGCAAATCCTGATTTACAACGGCAAATACGATTGATGAATCGATTCGGTACACAAAGTCAAACAACATCTGGTATTATTTCAAATCTTATCATCATCAATAATTTATGCTACTTTTTATTTCAGTTAGAAATATTTCTCTTATGATAAATTAAGCATGTAATTTAATGAATGTAGAAATAACTATTTTTTAAAGTTTTTTTTCTTAATTTAAAATTTAACAATGTATTACAATTTTATTTTTATTTTTTTGTCTAGAAACTTAATCTTTAACATTAGGCTACCATTTTATGATTGTATAAACAAAAAGAAAAAAATATATAACTTGATATTATAGTCTTTCTAATCTTTTCCCAGTTGAAATAATCCATTTATGATACAATTTTTGTACGGTTAAATGTTAATAATTGGTGATAATTTAGAAATGCAACAACAGCTGATAGAACTTAGTGGTGACCATATTGTTAAAAAACAATTGGTTGTTGTTAATTCTGAAGACGAATTAAGATACTATGTACGGACAGGTGATGTACCTTAATCAAATGGTGATATTGTTATTAAATATTCAAATTTCAACACATTCCACTGTTCATTTCATTTTTCAGTAATCAATATTATGTAATTTTCAGAACTGTGAAAGAAAATTTTTTGAACAGGCAAACAACTCACAAGAATTTATGCAAGTAACTTGTATAGCCTAAATTTTGGTAACGGATAACTCAAGCATTAATTGTATTCAGAAATATGTTTTAAGAAAAAAAAAAAAACTGCAACAGTACAATATTAAATAGTAAATAATGCTCGCAAATAATTCTTGATGTCTCAAGACTTGGGTATTTTGTTTTAAGGTTAAATTGCTCATATTTGAGGGTAATGTCTGTTATGCACTTGATGGTTTCAAGATTCGAGAATTTTTTCGCATATCAAAGTCTCGTTTTCCTTTTGTGAAGGTCAAGAGCCTATGGCTGTGATTCCTAAGTAACCTTTCTTGAAATACTCTAATTAACGCTATCATCTTCCGGCTTTCGGGTACTTATGTTTATTTGTTCATTATTTTGAAGCGAATCATTTTGTATAAATTAGCAATCATCGTTTAAATGATGCGAAATAAAGAAGATAAGCTTACATGAATATTTTTACACAGTAGCATATTGCGTTACAAAAATCCGTGAAATTACCCGCTAAAATAAGAGACCAACAATTCGGAGATAACGCGAAAATTTTCTGCAAATTTCAAAAATTAAAGAGACTTTTATATGACGTTCTTTAAAAAAAAGTGCACAATCATGAAAAAAAGATTAAGCTATTACGATTTCGAAGAAGGTATTTTCAGACCAACAAGTCTGGCAGTTTCTTCTAATGAACGTTCACCACCCTAAAAATGGAAAAAAAAGATTTTTTTTTTTTCTGAAACTGTACATCTCATACCCTAAAAATAAAAAGTAATTCTCTTTGTTGATGAGCAATTCTGACAAATTCAGGCAGGAAATGATAGTATTATGTTCATGCAAACATCGTTTCTTACTCCCATCCAATAAAAAGTTTAGTCCTCGAAATTTATTTTTTAAAAAACATCTCTCATAAGACTCAAATAAAGAAATAAAACTAACCTTATACTGCTCTTGTAATGATTTCAAATGCATTGTACTAGTCAGGTAATGCCGGTATGTATTAGAAAGATGTTCTTCTCTTGGCATATTACGTAATACATTCTTCTTATTTTGCTCGATATTTGCCTTCTGCTTTAGAAATGACTTTTCCGACTTTTTCCAAGTAAGATCCTGAAAAGCCAGAAATATGTTTCTACACTGCAGTACTGTATGAAGTTTCAAACAAACAGAATTTCTAATTTTTTATATAGTTTAGAACATATCAGACTTCTCAAAAATACCCTAACGTGCATCTTTGAATAACAATAAATGTGTCGTGTAATCTTCAGACATACCAAAAAATTTCATTATACTAAAATATTCCGGAACATTTCCGAATATTATAAAATATTCTGAATATAGGAGAATTGCTTACCACTCTAGATTTATGGAAATCTTCGATAACATGCCCAATTACTGAGGCTGCTTGTGCTCTATTCCTCCACTTTGCCATATAGTCACTTTCGTATTAAATCTGAAATTATTCACTCTTCAAAAATTATTCTAAATTAAATCATGAAGACGTTGACTGAAATCGAAATTGTTAAATTAAAATTATCGTTCGAAAAAGAAAAAAAAAAGAAATGCAAGCCACGATCTGAAAAAATCAATCCAAAAGTTAAACTGAGCGAATCTACAACTTTACCACTTCTTACAAGCCAACAGAACGTACGTTAAGGAAAATCTGTCACACTTTATTCTAATTATGGTTTGGAAAAGAACAAGAAAAAAAAAATGTACGACACAACTTAAACCATCAACCAAAGAACTAGCTGAGCGAATTTACAACTTCGTCACTCTTAACAGACTAGACGACGTACGTTAAAAGCGTGAAGGAAATGTGACGAAAATCACTACTACTACACGTAAAAGCCAGAAGAACTTCCAACAAACTGGAACGAAGTAGTCCGAGTCATTTAACACGTTACGTGGGATAAGGATAGTCGAACCGTCAAAAGAAGAAATTGTAAATCCTTTTTTTGACTTCTTTAATCTTCCTAGCTCTTATTTGTACCAAACATTTTTGATTACTTCACGCCATAAAGTTTGCTACAACCATTAAAGTAATACGTGAGGCTATCAAACGTCTTGCATCAATTTTTGCATCTTAGATTGAATGTATTTTGAGGAGAAACAGAGATTTGTTAAGATGTGAGTGATAGTAATGTTCAGACAGTGGAAGGGATTAAAAAAAAGAAAAGAAAGTAATGATAATGTGTAGTTGAGAGAGAATCAGCAAAAATTTTCCATTTTTGGAGTAAAAGATTACAATTGTTAAGAATTGAGAGGGGACTTTGTAAATGTAATCATTTCATTGTTTTGCTAGTGATTTAGAGTAAAAAGAAGGAATAAAAATTTCCAATAAAATATTTAGATTTATAATAGGCAATGATAAGAATTAAGATAAATCTAAATAAGATAACTAATAGATGGATAGAAAATATTATTGTAATTTGCTTATTAATACCTAAAATTATTAGTATTGTTCCTTAATAGTTCTAAACAATATTCTAAAATTTAATTTTAATGTAAATGTAACTTCAATTTCTCTTAATTTTTTCTTTTTTTTTGGCATGAAACTGTTTTAGATTCAAGTTAATAAGTAATTATATATATATGGAATATTGATTCAGTGGAATTTTCTATGTATACATAAATATAGAACATAAAATTATATGCTTTTGTTTATGTTTCTTTACATATGATTGTTTACATTCTTTTATCAAATTGAACAAAAATGTTTCTGTTCTTCATAAATGATTCTAGAAAAGTTTCAGTGTAAAATGGCAGATAGTCCACCAGAAAAGCGTCGATGTACGAAAGATGAGAAGATGAAAGATAGGGGAAGAGACAGTGATAAGATGGAATATGCAAGAACGGGTGATAATGATGTGGAAGAAACGAAGAAAGATGATGATAATGATGATTCTAAATTATTGTCACAAGCTATGGATGAAACAAGTATGAAAGACTTTCATACTTTCAGTGGTTAAATGATATTTAGATAAATACTGCTATATTATCTGTCCATTGTTTTATAACCTTTCATTATACTAGAATAGTAGTTTTATTGATTATGAGAATATTCCACTGTATGCAAAGCAACAAAAATATTTTAAGTTTGATTTTTATTTCTTTCTTGATTAATCCATAGATTTTTAGATTGGATTGTTCCGACTCAGCCTGATAAAGTATCATTTTTGTCGGAGAATTTGAGAGAAGGTCTCCTGAAACCGTTTGATGAAATACCATTTGCTGGAGATGTATATATGCTTACACAAGAAGTAAGATGTCTCTTTCTTGCAATTCTTTTTCTTCAGTTTTCTTTTCAAATGCAAAATGTATTTTAATTCTCATCAATTTACTACAATTTTTGGTTTTAGCAGCAGTTGCAGTAATAGTGTCAGTTAAGGTTAAGTTAAAGTTACCCATAACAAAGGGTACATTGGAAAAAGTACGTTTAGGTGCTGAATCACACCAGCACTGATAAATGTATGAGTTAAACGGATTTTTCTACATCATAAGCTTAAGAAGAGATTAAGCTTTTTTCAGTATGAAATTGCATATTGCTGAAATTTCTGGTATTTTTTTTTTTTTGTGTTTCTGGTATTTCCGTAAAACGAAGTCTTTTTTTTTTTTCTGCAATACGAAGTTCATGTATAAAATTACTTGATTGATTTCAGATTAACAGATTAAGAAAACAACTCGGCGATTCGCTTGGAGAAAATCAAATGTTAATATATAAAGTTAAAAATTTGAATCGGTGAATTTCTTTGTCAGTTTTGCTTCACTTTGCTCTCTTAACTTACTGATTTCATTTGAATGAAGAAAAATTTTAAAGAAACACATTTTTCTTTTAATTGTTTGCAGTGAGAATGCATTGCTGCAGGATAATCTGATTCAAGTACATCAAAGTTTCGAACAAAGGTTTCTTGAGCAACAGAATGACTTTGAAAAGACTGAGAGAGATATGCGAAATGTGATTACTTGTCAGGTACATCTGTTCATAAAAATACGCATTAATTGTATAGTATAAAATTTCTTTTTTTTTTTCACGTAGAAAAGGTTTGTCATTTTTTTCTTAAGTTACAATGAAGTTATACAAGCACTAGTGTTTCATGATTTCTAAAGTTACTTTTAAGAATTAGGGATGAAGGTTTTTGCGAAAATTATGGATCAACTTTCGATGATCCTGCTTTTATGAATAATATTGAGCAGGAAGTTCATTTAATAAAATGTTTTCAGGAACAAGATCTAAGAACAAAAGAATTCAGGGATCGTTTGAATAATTCTGCATTAGTAGCTACGAAAAGTGGTTATGTCGAGGTTTCTTTTCTTTTCTAACAGCTGTAGAAGTTAGCTGAAGTATTAAAAAATTGTTTTCGTCAAATTATTTTTCGTGAACTTATAAGTTAATATGCAATTGCAAATTAATCATTTCATCATTGGATACTCGAATAAGTTTTGTAACAGAATGTGCTACTGTAGATATTTTTTTCAGTTGACAGAAACAAATGGTGGTGTACATCAAGGCTCACCTGTAATTCGACTGAAAAAAGTTTCCGTACCAAATTTCCGACAAGAGAATTGTTTTCCGAGAACTCTAAATGATTCTCCAATACTGAAAAAAGCTTTTGGTCATCGCAGATTAGTCTTAAATGATACTTTCCATGCGATTGATAGTCAAGGAAAATGTAAATATTTTATTTTCTTTATTTTTTATTGAGCTTTCTACTAGCCTGTCCGTAACACTGTATAAATATTTATTTATTTACCACACTGTATCAATATTTAATTATTTAATCAGTCATTAGTGTTGAAATGAAATTTAGGTATTAACAATAGTATGTTCAATAAACACGACAACAGTAACACTGAGGCTAATCGAATTGAGCAAATTTCTTCATGGCCGGAAATGCAAATTTCGAATCCTAATTTGTACAGTTGTCTTCTGTATCTTCGTCCAGATGTACGTTTTTTTTTTTTTTTTTTAACTTTCATTTCTTATTCAAATTCAAATATTCAATCGTAGCTAACTTCAAAATCATTTCTGTTACAGAATCAGCTTTCTCAACTTTACGGTATATGTGACGAAATGACTGCACTTGACTTCCGCACGATTTTTCCAGAATTAGTAAGAAACCGTGAGTGGAAGACCACTCAGCTTATGCATATTGTTCTTGTAGAGCCACGAAAACGATGGTGCCGCTAATAAACTCTATGTTTCACTATTTATTAATGTGGAACAAACATTTGACATGTATCTTTTCTCTTTTAGTTTTTAAATTTATCTTTCAGTTTTGAGTTTTTGTGTTTAAGTTCTTTTTGGTTACTTTTCTGTACATTATACGTTTTATGTTTTACTTTGTGCGTTATTTTACAATTGTGCTCATTTGGCCTTCTTTATATGTATATATTTTGCATTAAAGTCAACTTTTTTTCGGGTGTTTGCAGAACTAATCTCAGGTTATGAGAATTTCCTTATTTTTTAAATTTGTTTTAAGACTACATGTTGAGAACAAATCGTTTTATTTCTGTTTGTAAAAAAGTCTATTCTTCAATTTATTGTTTATGATTTTCATAAGATTCATGTCTCTGTTCACTCTACCAACCCACTGCTGCACAAATTTTGAGACAGCTTTTTGTATCAATGATCTATTATCTCTGATCTGTATTTGCACCTCTTTCGTGAGATCAGTCGAATGTTATCTTCTTTCTTGGTATGATATTCGTCTTTATAAAAATTCTTTCCATAAAAATGTTAAATTATATAAATAGATCATTTACATCTTTTACCCTTCCTGCTCTTATTTATTTGTTTTTTTTTTTTTTTTTTTTTTTTTTTGTAGTGCCTTGTCTTGGTTGTACCATACTAATCTAATCAGTCTTCTTCGCAATTATGCAATTATGGTATTTTTTTTTTGCACTTTATGACACCTTTTATCATGATGTGCAGAAAGAAATTCTACCGAAATGAGAGAAATGAATTGTTTTACATCGATGAAATTTCGGAATTTTAGTCGTTATTTTGATGATAGAAAGATTCTCGGGATTAAAGTACTATGTGTACAAACTTGAATTTAATGATGAAATAAACCTTTGAAGTAATAAGTTATAGTCTACTACATTCAACCTAACAATGAGAAATTCCAGTACATTTACTGTCACAAGGATGTATGATGTATGTATTCAATTTGAAAATATTTACTGATGAGATATTACTACAAAATGTATTGCATTGCACGTCTTTAATTACAGATAATATTTGTCATGTTTTGAACTTATTAGTAGTTGCATCTGTGATGCATCAGAGTTTGCAGTTATCCGTTTCGTTGGCGTATCAGTGATGAGCATTGTATTACGCAAACGGTATCCTGTAAAGGAAAAGTTACATCTTTAAATTACGCAAAATTATCAAACTTTAGAAATCTTCCAAAGAGAGAGGAGAAAAAAAAAAAAAAGAAAAAAACGAATATTCACGTACAGCAATCACTTCTGAGAAGAGATATTCGGTTAACAATGTTTCACAACGATCAATCACCATAGAATGACATTCTGGCTAAAGTTTAATTTGTTTAAAACAAGATAATTTCTTTTTTCGCTTTAATTTAAGAAATTTAATATCAAATTTGTCAATTATTTCAATTTCAAACGTTTCAACGTACTCCTTCAGCAGTACATGTGCATGTGATACATGGTGTTATACGTTTTGTTCTTCCCAAGTTAATAACACGATGATCGACAACACAAAATTCTTAAAATAAACTTTCTTTTGGAAACTGTAAATTATTTCATTTTTTTATAGTTCAGAAGAAAAGAAAAAAAAAAAGGGAAAATATGATGGAATATTTACGTCGATCAAGCCATTCATAAAGATCAATATCTGGTAGTTCAGAGCATTTCATTGGTGCATTACTGAAATGGAATAATTTTGATCATATCAGCGTGTTGTTTTAAATGATAAATTTTAATTATGAATAATAATCTTAATATATACAAATTTTGGTTTGGTTTAATTAGCTGAAAAATTCTCGTCAAAAGTCGAAAGTTTAATTAATGAATAAGTTCAAAATTGTACATTTAGCAAACATACAACTTGAAAAGGACAAAATTTAAACAAACGTTAAATCATCAGGCATGAGAAATGCATTTGGCTGAATACGACGCGCATATTGACTATTTGCGCAAATAAGCTTACTCAATGTTGTTTTTCGTATTTCAGCTAATTGATCTAAAATTTAGATATTTATGGAGCAGAAAATCATGATTATTTATATTTTTATATTTCCGGTAAATCTTATTCGAAAATAACTGAATTATATGTTAGAAGAAATTCACTTTTACTTTTTACCTATGCTGTTCAATTATGTGGTAATTTTAAAAAGTTTGGTTAAAATTTCTTTTGCGTTAAAAATGTTACATATAGGTTTGCTCAGGTTTTCTTATATTGTTTAATATATTTTAAAATTTAATTTTTTCCTATAGACAAATATTTCAGGTAACCATTATCTTTTTAGAAATATAATTCAAATTATTAACATCAAGTTACCGTAATTAAACTTTATTTTGGACTTATTTTGAATTTTGGACTTAAAAGATATTCTAAGATAATTCAAATTTTTTCGCCTTTTCTTTTTATCAGAAAAATTTCAATTATTTTTTATGATGAATAACTTTCCCTATAAAAGAATTAAAAGATGAAGGATTTGATATTTGCTACAAAAAAAGCAACAAATGATATCCAATGCAAAATTCTTTTATTAATCTGTTAAAATGTCAATTTTTTTCCTATTTTTTATTGTTAAAAATTAATTTACTTATTAAGAATTAACAACTAATAAATTGAAAGAAATATTGATTAAAATTATAATAGATAACAAGCAAAAAAAGCCCAATTATCATCAAGTGAAGTTAGATGAAAGTATGAATTAGATTTTAATTATAATAGCATTCTAATCACTTTTTTTCCCTTATCACTAATCTTAAATTATTATAAAAGTAATAAACCAGATGTAAATCTTGTTGCTGCATTATCATTTTCATAATAAAATCGATCACATCGCTTTAATCGTTGAAATTGTTCACCAATAATGCATGTCAACATTGGGCCAACCAGTGCTCCTTAAATTATTAATAAAGAAAAACGAGAAATTATTGAATTACTATTTCATAAATTATAATTAAAAAAGTAAAATTTCTCATAAAATGACATTAAAAAGTTCATGAAAATCATAAGTTTTGTTTTTTCGTTTTAATTTTTATTTAAGAAAAAATTTATCACAATTCATTTCATGCTATAGTTTTTCCTTTCTTTTTTTGTCCAAATTTTCTTCAGTGAGAAATTTATTTTTGTTAAAAATAAAAAATTACAATTAATTTACTTAAAAAGTTACCTTTAAGTGGCCTTTCAGACATAATACCTGGAAAGAGATCAATATCATCTACATGATCATAAACACTTCGTAATGCTGCTATTGTTCGATTATCCATAACGTCTTTTAAATCATCAAAATTTCTCGCACGATGCATTCCACACATTTCACTAAATTTTATTTTTTCTTATTTGCCGAAATTTTTTTTGATGTTTAATTATTTAATAAATTATTATTGTTCTTTTTTTTTCTATTCTTTCAAATATATACCTTTTTTATTTTAAATTTTAACTAAAATTTTTAATTTCCTTCTTACATTTCCTTCTTTCTAGTTTAATTTTTAATTGAAATCTTTTGCTCCCTCCTTTCTTCCTTTTGTCTCCCTTTTTATTTTTTATTTCATTAATTTTTTTTTTTTTTTTTGTTAAATTAAATTTTATAGAAAACTAACCGATATGAATTATATGGTGGTACACCATGATCTCTTCCACGTTGTATATTAAGTGCCGGAAGATCCATACCTGTATATGGATGAGTTGATCGTTGAAATAAATGATTACGTACCGCATTACTAATATGCCGATCAAAACCCATACTAAAATTATACATCAATATATTTAAAAGAATTAATAAGTAAATACTAAAAAAAAAAACGCTCGATTTTAATTTAATCCATTATTTTAAAATTTAAGGTCTCAAAAAAAGAAAAAACAAAAGAAAAAAGAAAAAGCATTGATAATAATAACTTACCTATGTGCTCCAAGAAGTCCCATAATTACTGATTCAATATGTCCAGTTTCCAATGTATAATAAAATGTTTCATTATTAAATGACGCCTAAATTCAAAAAGTAAAATAAAAATGAAAAATTGTATTATTTTAATTTTAATTAATTAATGAAGAAGAAATTAGCTACTTTTAAATCAAGTCCATCTGTTTCATCCTGAAATTCAGCATTCATTCGTGGAAATATATTACGTATCAATGAATGACCAAAACGAAATGCTGCTGTTGCCATTTCTTGTGTCATTGTTGCATCACATTTATCATCATATCCTTTAAAATTAGTATTTTATTTTTATTTTCTTCCTTTTTCATTTCCAAATTTTAATTTAATATTATAAATTATCTATTGAAGTAATAGTTAATTAAAATTAAAAAAATTTTTATACGATTAAAAATTATCATTTTATATAAAGCAATAACATTACACTTATTATAATGAAATTATTATTAAACTTAATTCGTTATTATAAATTTGATTTGATATGCAATATCATCACGTTAAAAATTATCACTTTATGTAATGTAACGATATTACATTTAATATCATATCTTCAAAATTATTACTATATTTAATTCATGATAATAAAATAAAATATTAAAAATAAAAAGAGAATAGAAAATTAAATGTTTCGTGGCAAAGAATATTATGAATTTAATCAAATATGACATATTAATAAGGTTAAAAATTACCATTTCATGATATACTACAGTATTTGTTGTCATATCTCAAAATTATTACCGCATTTTATATTATAAATTAAGTATGAAATATGATTAAAAACTAATACAATTTAATTACCTGTATAATAACCAGTTTTTCTTGGTACAAGATCATATCGTGCAGCTGCATCACAACCTATTACAATTGGTAACCATTCATTGTAAATAATATGTTGTATTTTAGCTCCCATTATACGTCGTGTTTCCTATATTTTATTAAATTTTATTATTATTATTATTTAATAAATAAATTTATAATTTCTAAATTTAAAAATAAAAACAATACATTTTTTTTTTTTAAAAAAAGAATTATTTACCATATATATTTTTTCATCAGACCAAAAATTATTAATACGACTTAAACTTGCTGCAATACGATTATGTTCACGAAGAAATAATGTATGCATAACGGTAAGACCTGGTTGTTCATTACTACGTTCATCACCTGCATTAAAACATGGATGTCGTGGTTGTGATCTAAAATAATAATGAAAAATAAACAAATTTTCTTTCACCAATCTTTTCTTTTCATTTTTGCTTTTTTTCTCTCTCTTCACTTTTAAAAAAATAAAAACTTATAAAAATGAAAAAAAAAAAAAAAAAAAACTTTGTTTTCACCCTAAAATTGTTAGATTTTTGTTTCATAAATTATCAGTTTTGAGTTAAAAAAAAATTTATCAAAATTGCTATTATTAAGCGGAAAACCTGCAATCTCTTTCTTGACGGCCTTGTGGTAAAGCTTCACGATTGAAGCCAAGATCGGTAAAATTTAAACGTCCTTGGCTAAATAAACGTAATTTATTTGCTTCACATTCTGTTGAGCCATAAATAAATGATGCATCAAGGTATGATGTTAATTGGTCAAGCTAAAATTTTATCAATTAAAATTATTTTTAAATTTAAAAAAAAGTATTTTAAAAAACTTCGCTTTTCACTTTCGCAAGTTTTCTATGCCTCACTTTTTTGTTTATTTTTTAATTGCTATTTGCAAAATTTAAATTAAAATAATCATTGGTATTTATTATATGAATAATAAAATTATATTTGTACTTGATTTCGATATCCAAGTGTAAGTTGTCCAAGAAGTGATCGAGTAAACGGTATACAACGTGGTTCACCATTATCATTTAAATGCGGAAAATATGGATCACCATTTTCAATTGGTATCGGAAAGCAATGGATGGAAACGGTTTTAGCTGAATCACAACGACTACAATCCAAAATTGTATTTCCGGGTCCTGTTAATAATAATCTTCCTTTATTTTTTTCCCTCTCTCTTTTCTCTTTTTTCCTTTCTTTAAAATAAACTTTAAAAATACAAAAGAAAAAAGATATTAAAATTTTAATTATTGTTATTATTATTATTATTAGACTAATTGAATTACAATGTGTTATCCAAAATAATTCAATTAATTTTTTTCGTTTTTTTCTTTTTCGAAGTGAATAAATATTGGTTAGAATTTGAAATCGAAATTACTAATTTTAAATATTAGTTAGAATTTGAGATTGAAATTATTTTAAAACCTCGCGAAACTGGTGAATGCGCAAAATCATGATCAATTATTTGTCCCATTTGCATTAACATATGAGTATATTTAGCATGAAATACCGGTGCTTCAGCATGGATAATATTTGATATTTTACGTGCTGATGGTAATTTACGTCTATTATTACGACCAAATATACGTGGACTATCAAAGCCTAATTAATAATATCATTAATATATGTATATTTTTTAATAATTTCATTTAATAAAGAAAAAAATAATTTTTTTCTTTTAAATTTTATTTATAACTGCTATAAATGATAAAAGAAACTTTTTTTTACTAAATTTTTTTTTCTTTTTAATTTGTTTAAAAAAAAGTTTTTTTACCATCTCCATAAACTGGATCCAATAAACGTCGCATTGGTGCAAATGCATTTCCATAATGTGGAAACTTTAAATTATTACACCAACCAGAAAATGTACGATATTTTGTGGTATGATCACATGGTAATGGTCTTGGTAAGCATTCTTCCATTGATGGATTTTCCTCACCCAAAAAATTTGTAATATTTCCAACAAATTGTGTGACATCAACTTCAGGTAGTAAACGTTGTAATGTTGCCAAGTCTAATTCTAATGGCAAACGTTCTTGTTCACTTAGACCATCACTAAATAAAAAAATAATTATATATGTATTTAATATAAGAAATATATTATTAATATTTGTTAGAAAATTAAATTAAAAAAAAAAAGTTACACTTTTTTTTGTTTTTTTGCTTTTGTTTTTGTTTTTTCCTTTTTCCTTTTTCTTTGTAAATAATTAAATTTACCCTCTTAATAAAACTTTAGTTGTTTCACGTAGAACTTCAGCACGATGTGAAATTTCCAATGACTCCTTTTTTGGTGCCATTAAATTTGAATGCGCATAAATTGCCAAATTTCGGTTTTTATTTCGATTACCATTATTACCTAGCATATAATATGTATATTAAAGTGATGTTTGAAAATAAATATTACTTTAAGTATAAATATTTCCATTAATTAATAAATTTTGAGCAAAAAAAGAAGATTTATTTTTAATTTTTTTTAAATTTACAAAAAAAAAAAGTACATTTGATTTTTTTTTTTCATATCATATATTCAAACCTTGCTTTTTGATTCGGTCTGCTTCTGCATCATTTAAACGTTTAGCATGTTCAGCACCTAAACGTACTGCTTTTTCCAATGTAGCCTTTGTTATGGGTAACTTTAGCCTAGGCTCTTGATCAACCCATTGTGTTAAATCAATTGTATCAATTATCGTTGAATTACAATACATAGGGCAGTTTCTGTAAAAAAAAAAAATCCATCATTATATAAAAATAAATACTAAATATTTGATTAAACAAATTTAAGAAATATATTAAATCTTAAATTTTAAATGTCTTTTCTCATTTTAAAGAATACTTTCTTTTTATTTCATTTTATCGTAGCAACTTTTTGTTTTACTTTTTTTTTTCATATTTTTAAACAAATTTATTCAAATTTAGGCATAAAATGACATTTTATAATTAATTAATTAATTACCCATAAATATCAGCGAGTGTAAAAACATTTGGTTGTATTTGCTGAATGCCATCCGAATTATCACATATTATTCGAGCCAATGTTGTTTTTCGAATTTCTGCTAATTGTTCCAATGTAAACGCTGAGGGCGCAAAAAAATTTTCATACCAAAAACGATCACCTCTACGAATCTTAATAAAAAACTAAACATTAAAAAAAGAAAAATTAAAGTAAAAGAAAAAAAAGAGGAGTCCTAAACAAATTTTAACTAAATTGGAATTAAAGAAAAATTAAAGGACAGTTGAAAACACATTTAACTAAATTGAAACTAAAACTAATAAAATTCACACTTCTATTTTTTTGTCCAAAATTTTCATTCTTTTTGTTTTTTAAACATTTTTATTAGTATCATTTAAAAAAGTTGATTTCCAAGAAAAAGACAAAATGTTTGACATCTTTTCTTTTGTCCTATTTATCAAAAAATTATTTTTGTCTTCCATAACATTTTTTTTTTCTAGCATTTGGATATTAATATTATTTTTACAACTATGATGAAAAAAATCAATCATTGATCATTTAATCTTTATAATTTATCAATGTCGAATTGAATTCTGTTTAGAATCAATTATGATAAGTGATATATGAATAAAAATAAAAATTTGAAAAAAAATAAAAATTTTGATGAAAAATAAAAATTTTAAATATAATTGCAATTTCCTTAGGGAAAATCAAATGTAATAGCAATTTTCTTTTTAATTTTAGAACAAAAAAAAGTGAAAAGAAAAAACATTGACAAACAAATAGCACTGTATTCGATTTCATAATAGATATTATTTTATCATTTTAATTATTATTCCATAAATTTGGCAATTAGTTCAAATAAAAAATTAAATAGAGAACCTTTTGAAATTGTCTACCAATGATACATGAAAATGTTGGTCCAACTAATGCACCAAGTTCTGGCTTCTCAGCCATACCAAGTACAAATAAATCAACATCATCGATATGATTATATAATTTGATTAATTCATCCAAATTAAGTGATTTTAATACCTATAATTAAAAAAAAAAATACTAATGGTTGCAGATGTAAATTTATCTAGTAACTGCAAGCTCTTTTCATTTTTTTTTCCTTCTCTCCGTTCCCTCACTCTCGTTCTTTTTTTACTACATAATTCTACTAAAAAATTTAACATTCTTTTAAAATATAAAAAAAATAGTGATTTTAATTCGTAAAATAATTCTTAATTCAATTATTTTAAGTGCTAACACTTTGTATTATGCTTTTTGGCTATAAATGTAAATTTATCTATCAATTACAATACTCTTATCGTCTTTTTTCCTCTCTCTCTCTCCCTTTCCCCCATTTTTTACTATATAATTTTATTAAAAAATTTAACAGTTTTTTAAAATATAAAAAAGAACTTCTTTTGACTTGCAAAACAAATCTTAATTTAATTATTTTAAGCGCTAAAAATTTTGTAATATATGCTTTTCGATTTCCATAAAGTATAACAAATCTACAAAAACAAAAAAAAAAAAAAAAAATTCTTTTTTCAAAGAAATTTTAAAAAATATTTACAATATCATCTAAATCAGTAAAATTAGCTGGTCGTCGAAGGCCACAAGCACTACGAAAAGCAGTATAGCCTGGAATTCCATGATCTCGTCCCATTTGTATAATCATTGCTGCTAAATCAATTCCGTAATTGCCTTTACCACGTAGAAAATCATTTTTAAAATATTTATTCATATGTAAGCCAGGTTTACGAATTGTTTCAAGTAATAAAAATCTGCAAAATTAGTAAAAAATTTTATTAATAGGAAAAACAAAAATTCGCAAGATTAATAAAAACATTTTATCATAAAAAAAATAAAAAGCTGCAAAATTAGTAAATCTTTTTTTAAATAAAATATAATCATAAATTAATTCTCTTTTTTAAATTTCTGACATTAGAAAAAAATACGGAAAATTTTTTTTTTTAATTTTTTGAATAAAATAATATATGAATTGGAGAATTTATAATTATAGTCATTATAAATTAAAAATTAAACTTATCACTAACATAACAAATTTATTTGATTGAGAAATAAATATTAAAGTAAAATTTAAATCAAATGAAATATCCAATTATATAAAAAACAATAATTGACAATTATTTAGTGCAGCAATTTTAAATTTCACCAATAATAGAAATTGAATTAACATATTTAGTTCGAAAATAATTATAAAACTAAAATCTAAATCAAATCAAAAATCAAAGTACATATTTGAAAAAATAATAATACCAAACAATTGTTTAGTTCTGCAATTTTTAATTTTACTGATAATAGAAGTTAAATTTGGTATATTTAATTACAAAAAAATTATTAAAGTAAAGTCTAGATCAAATCAAAAAACAAAATATATGTTAAAGAGAAAATAATAATAATAATAAATAGTTATTTAGATCCACAGTCTTTAATTTTAAATTTAATTCATTAAGTTTTTATTTTTACCAATTTTAAAAGTTTCTTATTTAACTAAGTGTTTAATTTAATTGCAAAATTAGTTTGAAAGATAATCATTATTAGAAAAAATGTGCAAATAATAATATCATACCTTAAAATGATGTCAATTTTACCATTATAAAATAATCCTGGATCATTAAGCAGTGTACTCCAGGATTTTTGCGCTTTTCGATTTCCATCATTATCTTCATAAAAGGTCATTTGATCAGAAAAGAGCGAATAGTAGAATAATCCAACCGCTGATGCATATTCATTTAATGCTGTTGCATCAACTTTCTAAAATATAATCAAATAAATAATTCATTATTTCGCATTATTCATTTATTCTTTAAAATATAATAAAACTGATTAATTATAATTAAATATCACCCATCAATCCCTTTCCTAGAAAAAAAAAAAAACAAGAGATTTTATTAAACATTAGCTATCTATTCTCTAAAATGTAAAATAATTTAATGATTTATTTAATATTGTTTACAAAATTAAAGTTACAGGTTAATTTAAAAAAAGCAAAAACAAAAAAAAAAAAAAAAAAAAAAACAAAACAAAACAAAAATTTAAACGTTGTAATCTTGTATATTTGAAAAAGTTTACAGAAAAGAAAAAAAATCCTTCTAAAAATCTAGAATTAACCAAGTCATAATCACTATCATAATCATTATGTTGTAATTTAATTCCATATTGTCGTAATTTATTTTTTCCAACAATAATTGGTAAGAATTCATTGTAAGTAATATGTTGAATTTGTGCTATAATAATTCGACGTGATTCTTGAAATAATTTTTCATCATCCCAGTCAACATTTATAACCTAAAATTTAATTAAATCGAAATATTTTATTAAAATCAAAATTTAAAGCAATGCTAAAAATTGAAATTAGAAGTTAAATAATAATATAGCAATATACAATCATTAGTTTGTTGAGTAATTAATTTCAGGTAATTTATAAACAATATTAATTTTCTTTTTTATATTTTTCATAAATCAAAAATTTCAAAGGAAATACCAAGATTAAAATGTTGTAATTGATTAATTTTAAGTTATTTCTATTAAGAATATCATAACTCTTTTCATTTTTTCTTTTTTTGAAATGATTTGCTTTAATTGATTTTTTTCTAATTGAAAATATTACTAACTTTTAATTGTTTAGCAATATTATTATGCTGACGTAACCATATCGTATGCAATGCAGTTTGTGTGGGAAATAAATTTGTTAATTCACCACCCGATAAGAAGCATCGTTGTGAACTTCGATTACTCATACAGGTATCATCATTTGTAATTGTTAATAAAGTATTATAATGTGAACTTTGTTGCGTTAATAGAAAACCTATAAATATTATTTAAATTTTCTTTTTTGTCTTTTATTTTTTCATTTTAATTTTTTTTTATAACCTATATTTGTTCATATTTGATAAACCATTGTATTCATAATATATTTTATTATAATAAAATTTTATTGTATTAATATTTTATTATACAAACATATTTTATTACAACATATATTTTTTAAAGTATATTAAAAATAATATCTTTTTTAATTTCAATTTTCCTTGAGAAATAAGAAGAAAAAAAAAATTTTATATTTGTTTATATTTGACAAATTATTATGTTAATTATATATATATATATATATATTAAGAATGATTAATTTAATAAAAATTTTAACTTCATATGTATTTCATTTTCAAAATTTTTAATTTAAATTTATATGTAATTAAATAACGAAAAAAAAATTGAATAGATATTTAATATTTATGGTATATTTTCAAAAATTTTTTAATCTATATATTTCAATAGAAATTATCATTAACGAACAATTAAAATGTTAAACAATTAATTACAATAAATTAAAACCATTTCGATATGCACGAAGTCTACTAGCGCGTTCCACGGTGCTACCATAAATATTACTAGCATCAAGAAATGATGTTGCTTGATTAACTTGTTCACGTGGACCAAGTGAACAATTTTCACGTGGTGAAGTCGCTGTACGTACATATGGCAAACATTGTGTTAATTCTACAATAATTAATTTAATAATGAAAAAGTAATGAAAAAGTTAAATTGTAGAATTATTTAGAAATATGACATATAATAATAATAATAATACTTAATAAAACTAAAATTTAATAAATATCTTCCAAATTCAAAAAATTAAAATTTAAAAATACTGCTTAATAAAAGTAAAAGTTTTAAGTTTATAATGTATAAACAAAAACCAAAAAAAATTATATTTTTTTCTTTAAAAAAAAGTGCTTACTTGAATAAGTTGTATCATCTTCATCTACTTCAATTGGATAACATTCTGGATGAGTGTATTTCTCATTACAGCATAATAATGATTTTGATCGATCACCTAAAATTTTAATTAAAAAAATAAGTTCTTTTTTTAATTTTTTTTAAATATAGTTTTTGTATAATTTTTATAAAATATCATTAAAAGTAAAAATATTTGCAACTTAATCATGTGTACTGAAAATTTTTGTTCATTTTTTCTGCAATTTTTTTATATATTTTTTTTTAAATCTAACATTTTTTTTTTTTTTTTTTTTGAACGAATTATGAGAATTTTAGAAAAAAAGAAAATTAAGACAAAATCAAATAAAATTAAATACTTTTTTATTATTCCAATTGATATAACATATGAATGAAAAAAAAAAAAGAATAGAAAGCGAGAATTACTCAAGTTATATAAAAATAAAATTTGATATGTGTGAATAATAATAATTAAAACTGTATTTTACTTATTCTTGTTATTATTATTATTATATTTGTTAAAAAGAAAAAAATTTTTTTTAATGTTTTTTTTTTTTTTTTTTTATAAACGCTTTTGCATTTTTTTCATTTTGAAAAATTTTCATTTCTTTTGTTTCCCTTGTTTTTTTTTCATCGTTGAATTATTAAAAAATAATAATTATACCTTGATAAAGAGTAGTGATACCAGGATGATTGATATCTTCATTGATAAACATTGCCCATTGTGCAATCATCATTGAACATAAGGTATGTCGATCAGTTGGTTCAGTGATAAGATTATGTGATATTTTTCGTGCACTTGGAAGTAATGAACCGCTAATTGATATTCGTGGTTTTGAAATTTCTAAATTAATAAAAATTTCTATTATTATTATTATTATTTTTTTGGATTTACATATATAATTTTTTTTTTTGTTGAATGTCAAAAGAAAAAAAAGAGGAAAAAATAAAATAGTTTTTTCTCCTTTCTAACTAAAAATATTACAGAAATTATAAGATGATGACGCAACAAAAAAAGACACTAAGCTATCAGATAAATAAAAATTTTTATTTACTAAAATACCTTTTTATTAAAATAATTTCATATGAATGAAATTATTTACTATTATCATATAGTTATTATTTCGTATTTAAAATTTACTTACTATTAGCGTAAAATGGCTTCAGTAAACGCTGCATCGGTTCGGATGATGCACCCCATAATGGATGATTAACATTATTACAGTGTCCAGAATATGTCCGATATTTGGTTGATGAACATTCGGTTGCCAAATTTACCGGACATATATTATTAATTAGCGTATCATGAAGATTCATTATTGGTAAATCGTAAAGAATTAGCTCCGATGTAAGACCAGCACTAAAAAAAAGTTGTCAAATTAATTAGTTAACTAATTTATAATAATAAAATCATTCATTAACATTATTAAATGAAACAATTTTCATTTCTTATCACATGACATGATTTACTAATTTAAATGTTAAATTAATAAAAATTTCCAAGCATCAAAAAATACTAATATTAAATTTGAAATTAATAAAAAAAATTATACTTTTGTAGTTTTTCAGTTGCAAGAATGGAAATTTGTGATGAATAGGAAAGTTTCTTAGAATAATGATCAATTTTATTTATGCCATTCCATGTTATCTCTGATGGTTCGCCATCAAATGCTATAATTTGAAATGAAATAATTTTTCGATTATTAATTACACCTAAAATGTTATTAAATATTAAATATTTAAATAATTGGTACGAAGCACAACGTTAAATGATAAACTTTTGATACTTGTATGTTGTATGATGATACAAAAATATATTGCTATCAAATTCCTTAACAAATATTTTTATATATTTAAGATAGAAATTTAATTGATAATTTATTCGTCAAATCTCGTTACTTTTTTCTTATACAAATTGAAATATTTAAATTTGAATTCAGTTCTATTTTTATTCATTTTCCTATCCTTTCTTTTTAAGGAATATTTTTACTTTTTTTCCATTTTCACTTAAATCTCAAAAATTATATCAATAACTTTTGAATCAAACATTTCGTATTATTATTATTATTATTATTAAAGTGCTCACTTGCAAAATGCAAGTTAAAAAAATAACTTAAACTTATAATTCAAATGATTGAATCAATTAATTAAATTTATTGGAATATTCCTGGTTGAAATGTCATATTTCAGTAAATTTCAGTAAAAAATTTCAGTAAAAATTTCAGTATTTCAGTAAAAAAAAGGACTAGCAACTATTTTCAAAATTCTAATTATAAATTAAAAACTAATAACCCATCCTAAAATTTTAAATTATTTCAAAAAAAAAAAGAGAACACAGTTTTAGTTTATTTTCTAAATTTATACCATTTATATTTTTGAAAATGTTTGTTTCAGTATGATTAAAAAGCAAATCAATTTCATCCTTTGCTTCTCGTATCGCGGTGATAATAGTTTGATGACTGATTAATTTTTTGATATCAGTGTGACGTCCTCTAATCTCGTTTGAATTTCGCTGAGTTTGTGTTTCGTCCTCATCTTCAATTAGCAAATGATAATTCTCAAATTAACTAGCTTCATATTTTAATTTTAATTCGAATTCACTATAAAAATTTGATCAAAAAATAATTTGTGGGAAAAAACTTTTTATTTATTGCAAAATTTTTGAATCAAAAAAAAGAAAATAAATAAGTTCCAAACTTTCACATCAATATAATGTTTTTCTTTTCCTAGAGCTATTAATATTGATTATTGATTAAATATTATTGTATCATATTGTAAATGAAACAATGTAATCGGAATTATACAGTAAAAATATACACTTATTAATTAATTGAAAAATTTTTATATTATGGTCATTTCAGTAATTTTCAAAATAGGTAACGAAATGTATATTCGTATAAAATAATTATAAAATAAATGAAAAAAAAAATTTATACCAAATAATTTTTTCATTCTTTCCTTCTTCACACTTTTTTTATCATGTAGAATTATTGCTTTGATAATATGTTCAATTATTAACTTAGAAAAAAAAAAGAAAGAAAAAGAAGTAAAAAAGTTTGTTTTGGTTCACTTCAAAAAATTTTGAAAAATTAATCAAACGAAAAAAAAATCTTACTGAAGGTATTTGATACAAGACCAAATGCAAGTGCTGCACGTGAACATGGCGTAAAACTGACACCACATGGAATGTTGCTACGGCGTTGCCGCGCGTGAATATCACTACCACTTGCGTCAACCATATTATTCAACAAAAAAAGTAATAAAATAAATAATAGTATCATTTTAGCTTATATGTCTGAAAGATTAAATATAAATTTAAGCAATTATAAATTTGCGAATGTATCAAAATTACAAATTTTTATAAAAATTAATTTCTTTTTATCGTTACATTAAATTTTATTATCCTTGAGGATAGCCGCACTGTATATGAGATGGATGGATGGATGGATGGATGGATGGATGGATGGATGGATGGATGGATGGATGGATGGATGGATGGATGGATGGATGGATGGATGGATGGATGGATGGATGGATGGATGGATGGATGGATGGATGGATGGATGGATGGATGGATGGATGGATGGATGGATGGATGGATGGATGGATGGATGGATGGATGGATGGATGGATGGATGGATGGATGGATGGATGGATGGATGGATGGATGGATGGATGGATGGATGGATGGATGGAATGGATGGATGGATGGATGGGATGGATGGATGGATGATGGATGGATGGATGGATGGATGGGATGGATGGATGGATGGATGGATGGATGGATGGGATGGATGGATGGATGGATGGATGGATGGATGGATGGATGGATGGATGGGATGGATGGTGGATGGATGGATGGATGGATGGATGGATGGATGGATGGATGGATGGATGGATGGATGGATGGATGGATGGATGGATGGATGGATGGATGGATGGATGGATGGATGGATGGATGGATGGATGGATGGATGGATGGATGGATGGATGGATGGATGGATGGATGGATGGATGGATGGATGGATGGATGGATGGATGGATGGATGGATGGATGGATGGCAATGATAATGTATTGATTTGATAATGACAATAATTATGATAACTTCGCTGTTGATTTTTTTTCTTCTGAACAATAAAAAGTAACTTAAGAAAATAGAAGTTATTGTAGCTATAATCAGTAATATTCTTGCATAAAATTTTCTAACAATTACTAATACATCATTTATTTGAATATTTAGTCTATTGTAACTATTATTAAATAATAAACTATTATAATTCCTGTTAATAATTTACAGAAGTAGTTATTAATAATAATGGTTAATGATGTAATAACAGCAGTAACAACAATAATGATAACATCAAAATACTATTAGATGAAAAATTCGAGGACTAATTAAGCGATAATTTTTACAATCAATCAGTTTAACAAACTTTTAAACAATAGTTTTAAATTCATAATTGACAAAAACTAATACAAAATTATTAAAATGTTAAATAAAAGCTGAATGACATAATTAAAACCAGTGAAATAATTATTTTTTCTTCGTTTCTTTTTTTCTTTAAATCATATTAATGCAGAACTAAGTGTAAATGAATATAAAAACTTTTCAAATTACTCATTTTGCAGAAAAAAAAACAAAAAAAAAAATAGAAAAAACAAGAAAATTAAAGAATTAAAATTAATGTACCATATAAAATAGTAAACATATAAAAAATAGACTAAATTAATTAGCAGAAAAGAAAAAAAAAAGAAAAAGTTATTTTGTTTATTATGAAAATCGAAAAAAATTTCAACAGAATTAGTATTAATGAATAGAATAATAACATAAATTAGGAATAAAAAATGAAAAATAAAAAACAAAAGGTTTAAAAAAAAAAGGAAAAATTTTTTTTGAGAGTAGAAAAATCATAGAAATGAGCGTGATTGAAGCGGAAGTAAGATTACGTTACGTATTGTTCCCTTCATATAACATTTTCACTTCATTATATATGCATTTTAATTCATTCCCTTAGGCTATCATAGAACTCTTCTATCTTCCTAAATGTCTTAATCAGACATCTATTAGTTGATTGATTTGTTAAAAAAAAAGTGTTGATACTTAAAAAAATAAAAAATAAATTAAAAAATTTTTTAAAGAACAAAAAAGGAAAAGAAACAAAGCAAAAAAAAAAAAAAAACAATGAGGATAGAGTAAAATAAATAAATAAAAACATAAAAATTATTGTATATAATAATTATTAATTTTAATAAATCATTTTTTATCTTTTTAATTTATTAATTAATAATTTTTTCATTTTCTGTTTCTTTTCTTCTCTTTTTTTAAAATCATTATGAATTGGTTGACATTAAATTTATTACACATTATTAATGAATTCATTACTGAAAAGATTTTTTTAATTAATATGTAGAAAAGAGAATAATGACAATTATCATGATCATTTATCATTATATTTGATAATGAAATTAGGCCATTCATTTTATTAAATTTGTTTTTAAATATTGTGAGCATAAAACATATCTGTATCATGTATCAGCAATCTGTTAAAAAATATAATATCTAAATAATTATCAATGTATAAATAGAAGTCATTTTAATAAATAAATCTTTTTAATTTTTTTCACTTTCATTTCAAAATTTTTTCATTATTTTGTTGAAATTAATTTTCTTTATCATTATTTTTCTTTTCTCAACTTTTAATGATATGATCGTTAAATTTTAATTTAATATGTATACTATTATTCTAAGAAATTTGTACGCAAATTTTTAAATCAAATTTATTTAATATATATTTTATCATAAAAGCGTACTAAATTATTCATTTTGAAAAATTTATTAAAACATGAATAAATATTTGCAAATTTTCATGAAAGTAAAACTTTTTTTTCATATCATTGTTTGTAATATCAAATGTATTAATAATTAAATAAAATGACATTTATAATTTTTGAAAATTAAAAAGGAGCAAGGGAGGGAGAATGAGAGAAAGAACAAGAGAGAATCATTTAAGTGGCTAAATAAGTGTTGGGCTATGTAAAATTATAAATGGCCTAATTTGTTGTATATTTTTTCTAATAAATTAAATGACATTGAATAATTTTATAATTTTATGCTAATTAGATAGATGTTAGAATGCAATTAAAATGAGTAGTTCACAAATTTTTTTCTGAACAAAGGGGAAATGGAAATAATTTTAGAAAATGTTATCATATTGTCACCACTTTACATTTCATTGAAGAAATGAGGTGAATGAATAGAATGAAAAGGATGCATTCATTTGTTCCAACCATTATAAAATTAAATATTCCAATTGAAAGTCTTTAATCTGTTAACTGTTACTTTTTAAGATATATAAGAAAAAAATTAAAATGGAATCGTGATAAATTTGTCATAATTGTTTAATAGACTATTTATATATTGCAAACTTATATCATATTATATATGAATATGTTTTCATTCTCTGTTAAGTAAAAATTTTCAATTTAAATATTTCAATTTCAAAAAATTTTCATTTGTAAAAAAAACGAACTTTTTCCGTCTTAAAAAATTAATTTTGAACATTTAGATGAAAAAGAAAAAAAGCTATAAATTGGCTATTTTGATGAAATAAAAAACGACATAAAATTGTAAAAAAAAAATTATGGGTGCAAAAACGGAAAAAGTGTTAAAGTAATGTGAAAAATACTTTACCCATTCGTTTTTCTTTTCTCACTTATGAAACATATTAAAAAATTAATTATAATCAAATTTTGAAAGGAAAGACCTATTCATTTTTCAATTCTTTTATAAGTTATTTTTACTATGCATGAAATTTGAATTTACTAATAAAACAAAGACGATGTGCAAAGAGAAAAAGAAAAAGAGAAAAAATGCAGTTAAATTTTTCTAAAAATTAATGAAGAAAAAAAAATTTTGTTTGAATGTAAAGAACTAAAGTGGAAAAATGAAAATTATGAACATCTATTTCAATTTATTTATTAAATTTCTAACCTTCTAACACTATTTTAAATGAATGAAGTTAAATTAATATAAAATAAGAAGTAAATAAGTAAGAAATAAGTCAGACTAAATTTGACAAATAAAAACTTGCAAAAAATTGAAAGAAGTAACAAATATTATAAGATAATGAATAAATAATAAGTATTTATTGAAATAATCAATTTTTGCTGAGATTTAGATACTAAAGAAAACTAAAAATTAAATTAATTAGTACAAAAGAAAGCCAAAAGTTGTTAAAGGTCAAAAAATGCATCGTAAATGTTAAAATGATATTAACATATCAATAATATTTACCACATTATCATGTTAACATTCTTTTTTTCCTTCTCCATCTTTCCTCCTTACTATATTTCCTCTCCTACATTAAATTAATACAATTAAAAGTGATATTTACTTGATAAAGATATCTAATAAGTGACTGAATAAGTTAATTTTAAGGGCGAGCAATAAAGTAATTTCTTCCTTTCTTCCTTCTTCTCTCTCTCTTTTAAAAGATAATAACGGAAGAACAAGATTCGCTAATAAATACATCATTTTATTAAAACAGGAATTTTTATTATATATATAATCGAAAATCCAAATTATTTATATCGTTGAAAATGAACATTGGAAAGGAATATTCAAAATGATTATGATAGAATAGTAATTAAAAAAAAAAAAAATCATTACTGGAATATTTGTACATGAAATATGAATACACACATATACTTGTTTTACTATGAAAAATTATAAACAAATGAATGGTCAATACTATAAATTTCTTTTAATTTGTCCATTTAGTAAACAAACAAACAATTCAGTAAATAAATAAATAAACAAACAATCTGACCATTCATCACCTCACCTTTTCATTCATAACTGGTTCTTCATTCCTCTTTTCAATTTTTTTTTGCTGCAATTTATTGTCCACTTCTATTTTTTTTTTTTTTTTTTATTCTGATCATCTAAATGACCCTTGATGAACATTCGGCTCTTTCAAATACAATTTATTTCCTAAAAATATTTTGCATACAATGAACAATTCTTTCTTTTTTTATAACTTCCGCAAAAAAAGATTTAAATTACATTTGCAATAAAGGAAGTTGTTGAATCATTCAATTCTTTTGTATGTTTCTGAATTCATAATTTGATTGATTAGCACCATTTCACAAAATTTGACCTTGACAAAGTACAGAAAAAAAGTAATAACTTATATAATTTTATTGATTGTTAGAATTGATGAAATTACAAATGAATTATCACCAAAAAAAAATTTTTTTTTAGAGATAAATTTCCTGGATAAATTTGTTTTTCTGTCTCAGCAGTTTTATAATTCATTTCTTTCTTTCATTCTTTATTTCAATCAACCAATTAATTTTTTTTTTTTTTTTTTAATTATTTGTTAGATGTATTCAAGAAAAAAATAAAAATTAAATTCTCTTCCTCATCATATCATTAGCAATATGTATATTGTTTAATCAAAACTGAAAGTAAAATTTTTGAATTTAAAGTTGATATCTTGAAAATAAAATCTATTGCAGCAACTTTTTAATAAAGAATGTTTTATTTATTCATATTTAAAATTACAAAAGTTAAAACTTTACCACATATGAGTTTGAAACATTTAATGCTATCAGTTAATATATCAGTATATTATTAAAATAATTAAATAACATTTTAAAGATTAATTTTTAATATTTTCTCTAAAAAATTAACAAAAACATACGCTTAAATAGTATGTGCTAAATCCTTCTAAAATTTATAGATAACAATATTGATTTTAATAATTTCGATAATAAAATAAATAAATACGTATCTATCTATCAAACCAATATAACATATAAATAATTATTTGGTATAACAACATTTATAATATATTAAAAATAAATTTACCTGAATTTAATTGAGGAAAAAAGCAAAAGGCAAACGAAAAAGGGAAAGAATAAAATGAAGAAAATAAATTTCAAGCTGTTACAATTCTTTTTTTTCCTGTCTTTTTCTTCAACACGTTATGTTTGTGTTAATTATCAATGATATTTGTTTTTCTCGCCTTCTTTTTTTCATTTTCTTTTTTTTTTTTTTGTTAAATATTTCATTTGACTCTTTACCAGCATTCAATGTAATATTATATTCAGATGAAAATATTAAATTTAAAATTAAAGAGATTTTAACATCATTTGCTTTTTTATTCATATTAAATGCAAAAAAAAAGTTCTTTCTAAACTTTTTTTTAAATATTTTTCTCAATTTATGCTAAATCGTAATAAAATTTATAAATTGTAATCTCACTATTATTGCATTAAATATTATTTCATTTCATCCGTAGCTTTTTTCTTTCTTCAAATCTTACAAATTCATTTTTGATATAGAATTTTATAAATTTCAATAATATACTTTCATAATAATATTACTGTGTGGAATAAAACGAAGTGATTAATTACTTTGAAGCGACATTAATTATTTAAATTTTATATTCATTCATAATTTTTTTTCCTTGTTTTTTGTTTTTGTTTTTGTTTTTTTTTTTTTTTTGCACAATTCATCACAGTAAAATGAGTGCCAATACTATTTATAGAAATACAGCACAGACAGTAATTTAGGTAAATGGCTAAAAATGAATGCAAAGTACTATTTCATCTAATTTTCAAAATTTCTTTTCAATTTGAAAATAAATACCCTGAAAAATTATTAATTATTTGCAGTGAGTTATTATTCAAAAAAAAAAAAAGAAGCGGAAATTATAATAAATATGAAAAACCTATCATTTATCTATTATCCATTTGTTTTCTCTTTAATTGTTTTTCTATCGTTCTATTATCTTTTTATCAATGATCAATTTTTAAAAGTTTTATAGGAAGAAAAATTGGTAATAGTTTAACTCACCATATTTTTTTATCTCGTTAACCACGTTTTTAATTAATAACAATAAGTATTACTATTATTATTATTATTATTATTATTATTATTATTGTTATTATTATTATTATTATTATTATTATTATTATTATTATTATTATTATTATTATTATTATTATTATACTATTAATTAATATTATTCTTTTGGTATTATTAATACTAATACTATTACTGTCATTATTATCATTATCATTATAACAATGAAAATAATATTACTTATAGCAATAAAAATAATATTTTTTGAGGAAAAAAAAAATGAGAAAAAAGGAAATTTTAACTAATGATAACAATAGTGGCAAAAATTTACCACATGAAATCTTACTATGAAAGAATAATAAAAACACGTAATGTCATAAATAAAAAGAGTGGATACAATTAAAATGAGAAAAATGAGATTGACAAATAAAACGACATCACTTAACAATTTTCATCTTACACAATAATGGAATATATCCTATTACTTACAAATATCCATATTGTGTTTTGTTTTTTTTTTTGTTTTTTTTGAAATTTTCAACGAAACAATCATTAAATTTAATCCCATTATACTAACGTTCATATCTTCCCTTCCCTTACTTTTTTTTATCCTTCCATTCATTACTTTCTTCCCTTTTCCCTTTTTCTTATTTTCGTTTTTTTTTTTCTTCCACATTTTCACTTCCCAAAGAAAATGAAAAAAAAAAAAAGTGTTTATTTTTATTCAACAATAATTACTTCTCAACAGGAATTTCAACACTATCATTTTATTAATATTATTAATGTTATTCGGTTCTTTTGTTTAAGCACTTTAGTGGACATCACCAACTGAGCAGAATTTAAATGAATGAACAAACAATTTATCATTGTCAATCATTCTATAATTTGTACTGGTTTTCTCATTATTATCAACTAATTCGCAAGATTGAGAAGCTATATTTCAAGTAGTTTGACCACTAATCAATGCTGAGAATTTGGCGAAATGACGTAATGTCACATCTTTTGCTTGATGTGTAAAATTCTTTTAATTTCCATAATATTTTAGAAAATTTCCCACTATATAAAAAAATAGTCTTAAACTACAATAATTCTGCTATTCTGACTAGCCGATTAAATTGTCTGAGCTCAAATCTAATGAATAAGAAAGAAAGCATTTTAACTAATGAAGTAGCATAATGCATCATCTTGAATTTTGATTTTTTTTAAACAAAAATAATAAAAATAGTTAGTCATAAGTTTACTGATGAGTAAATTTTTTTCTTACACCATGAATAGAAGAAATTCTTGATGGATAGTAGCGCACTTAATCTATGAAACTGAAATATCGCTCCCTTTATCAGATGATAATTAATATAGTTCTTTTATCTTTCTGATCTCTTTTTCTAGCTCTCAACAGTGACATTAAATATAACAAAAACTTTTAAATTGTTTGAAAATTTCAGAAAAATGTATGCAAAAAAGAAACGAAAAATTTCTTCGGGGAAATGTATAACATATTAAACTGCATCATTTATCAATGTTAACATCTTTCACGCTGGCGCTATCACAAAATCTGTACTCCTCATAAATCTGTTCGTATAAAGCACCGCAGGGAACAACTGCTTTTAATTTGGATGCTAATAAAAAGGATCCAGAAAGTTTTCGATGTAATGAGTAAATTTCATCAGGCGGTGATATTAGGCGATGTTTTAACATCACTGGAATTAATGCGTGAATTCTCTTCGTTACATTCTGAAATTTTACAACATTTTCAAATATTTTAAAGACATATAGTGAGAGTTTAGCAACCAAATGTACTGGGAAAAATAATTTAATTCATTTCAGTAAATTTTAATTTGTCTTAAATTTCGGATAATTTTCTTTTAAAAATGAAACGACATGTATGATTATACTTCGAAAAAACTTTCAAAGTCTAAACCTGTTTCGAAAAATCATATGGAGTTGTAGATGCCAATGTCTCACCCAGAATACCGATTGATTCACAATGCGCATTCTCCATTATCTGCAGCAATATTTTACACGTGAAACACAAATTTTTGGAATGTTCATTTCACAATGATTTCTCAGTAATGTAATAATATACAAATTTTGCACAGTATAGTTACCTTTGATTCATATCCTGATAGGAAACCAATCTTCCTCGAATATTCCAGCATCTGCAAATGAAGTAGCTCATAAACAATAATTTCAAATGTATTAATCAAAAGTTTGACCAGGATTTTGTAGATTAAAATTTGGGTTAGAAGATACACAGTGTTTTAAGAAAACGTTTACTTTATTTTTGTCATTGTCATAAGCAGCACGAATAATATTCATATACTGGTCAACAAACTTTCTGGGATATGAACGTGAAGCTCCAAAATCCAAAAGAATTAATGTTGGACCATTAGCAGTTGGATGCTTGCCGAGATAGAAATTAGACCAGTTTGGATCGGTCTAAAAGAAAATAAATAACTTGTGTTTTCTAAGTTTTAAATTGTGAATGCCGAATAAATGAAAATAATTATAAGCATTCAATTTATACTATTAAATATTTAGGAATTTAACATGCTTATGCGAAGAGTCATTCATAAATCATGCATTGAAATATAACTTGAGAATGACAAGTCAAATTTCTATAGTCGTCTAATTCAATTCACCACTTTCTTTCTAAATAAAATAGTTCACGATGCAGGTCTAAGATTTATTTACAGATTTTAAAGTTTTTAATCGAACAAAACGACTGTTTTTAGAAAGATAAATTGCTTCGTAAAAAGAT